TATTCCTAGGATTATAGACTGACGGACAGACGGACCGACGGACATTCATGTAACACTTAACGTATTGTATATTATTACGACAGCTCAACAATAAGGTGACCGCAGTATTTCAATTTCTTTGTTAATGCGTACTTGTGAGTTCATTGAGATTTCTCGCTACTTGTAAAAACGGGTACTTACTTTGATGTGTTGAGTGGGCCGACTGTATTTATAAGTAAGATGTATGATGATAATAATAGGTTTGTTAGTCTGTTTCGCTTGCCTTAAGTGTGACTATCAAGCAAAAACTTTGTCCGAGCGTACGCCGCGTAGCGGTCACCACAGACGGGGCCCTACAGGGCTGATGTTCAGCAGGGTTTGCGGGGTTTGCCCAGAGCAGGAGAAGGAACAGGGGGTTTTTAGTCAGTAAGAGTCTGACACTCAATCCCGCCCGGCCATGGGCGAGAGAAGTAAATTGATGATTTTACCTCCACAAAAAAAGCAAAATCTCTTAGATATGATTCACAGGTATCGTTGTCACTGATCGGAGCAGGAGAAGGAGCGGTGGATTTAAGTTAATAAAAGTCTGACACTCCCTCACGCCGCATCCAAGGGAAGAAGGTAGAAGTCATTTGGCAAAACCAGAGGAGTTGCAGAACAGTGCGTTGCCAACCTATTGAGGGTAAGGGTTTCGGATTTAAGAATTGAGAGGGGTGGCGGGAAGGGAAGGATTGGGCCTCCGGTAACCTCACTCACACGTCGAAACACAACGCTATGGTTATTATACGCCAGTCGTGATATCACTGTGTTGAGCCAACCCATTCGTTCCGAAGCTTGGCTCTCTCGCACCCTGGTACAGCGAGTGAAACCACTTCTCAAGTGTGGGAGAGCCAAGCTTCGGCACGAATGGGTCGGCTCGACTGGAGTGACACCACGGCCTCACAGAATACCGGCGTGAAACAACCCACAGCGTTGTGTTTCGCCGTGTGAGTGAGGTTACCGGAGGCCCAATCCCTCCCTCCCCTATCCCTTCCCAATCCTTATATCCGCAACCCCCATCCCGAAAAGCCCGGCAACGCACTAGTAACTCCTTTGGTGTTGCGGGTGTCCATGGGCGGCGCCGATTGCTTACCATCAGGTAATCCGTATGCTCGTTTGCGGACACCATTAAAAAAAATATTTCGTATGATAAATAAACTAGAATACTTACTAAGGGGCTACAATAATATCCCTATTCGAAGCTATATTTCAATCAATTACCTTGTAAGGGTATGAAAACAAAATTAAAAAGAGAAAGCCAAATGATCAAAGCGTGCATTTTCACAGGGCATCCACGATATTGGTGTTATTAGAAAATTGGATTTGTCTGATGTTTCGAAACTAGTGGCGTGCTGTGGTCTCGGGTGGAATTGTAACATTGTGTTCGATTACATTCGATTTCTTAATACTTTTTATATTAATATTTTTAACCCACGACGGTAAATGAAGGGTGTTATAAGTTTGACGTGTCTGTCTGTCTTTGTAATTATAAAAAACCACCTCAAAAAAAAACTAAAATTTAGCCTTTAAAAAGTAAAAAAAAAATATCAAAAATACATCGCGTTGACCGTAAAAAAAGTAGATAATTTGTAAATAAATAATTTAAAAACTTGGAGCGGTTCCCCAACGCGCCTTTTTTTTTTAAATGTATTTTAGTTTATTGTCAGGGATTTTTTTTAATAATTTTATATTCTAGCATTTGACGCTGCCCATGGACACTCGCAATACCAAATGAGTTACGAGTGCATTGCCGGCCTTTTAGGGATAAGGGCTTCTCGGTTTTAGGGATTGGGAAGGGAATGAAGAAGAAGAATAGGGTATCGAGCCAAATATTTCGACTTTAAAATGCAAAGTTCATAATACATCTAGTTATTTTTAAATGCATTTAATCGTTTCACTTTCGATTAATTCAGACACCAATATAAACATATACCTAGGTACCTACATATTATGTAAATAAAGGATGTTTTGACAAACAAAAAGACAGTCAGTGTTATGTCAGTATAGTAATATAATAAGGAGTGCTACTTACCGGATTTCTGGAGAAGTTTAGAGGGATCAGGGCGAGGCAGGGGTATATCATTGTATCATGCGCGGTAGATAGACGATGGGCAAGGATGGCATACACTTTTTTTTAATATCTCAATTATTATTTTTTGTTTTTTTTTACCGATTAAGGTACAGGTCTTGAGTAGTTGAGCAAAGTGTAACTACCCGTTATTGTTTAAGTTTTTTTTTCTAAATAATTTTGCCTTATGGCCGTCGGCAGTTGAGGTTGATTATCTTCCTTTAACATACCTACAGGTACTGTTAATAATTCGTTGTTAGGTTAGCTTACAGGTTATTTTTAATTTATTAAAGGTAGAGATCCTCTTTCGTCGTACCGCCAGACAATCCGGTATAAATATGCAAGTACAATCAAAGTCAAAATCAAAATAATTTATTTCGATGAGACCCTTTTTTTCGATACAGGCACTTTTGAACGTCAAACAAAATTTAAAAGATATAAGTGTCAGTCTTTCGGTCAGTCCTCTTAGTGAAGCTATTTGCTCGTTCCAAAGTGTAGATTGCGATAGAGAAGAACAAGCAAGAGTCAATAATTAATAAAACATGCCCCGGCCTGGAGCAGGAGAAGGAGGTGGTTTTAGCCAGTAAGGAGGAGGTTGAGGTGAGACGCCTCACCCAAGGCGAGTGAAGATATTTTATAATATTACCCGTTAAAAAACAAAAAAGACTATCGGAAAAAGTCATCGCTTCATAGTGAATGTTCCATCTACATCCATCAATCGTTTTGTCTAAAGTTTTTTCATCAGAACCACTTAGAAGAGGAATTAATTTTATTCAATCACCTGGGTACCTTCAAGGCCCGAGTTGCTTATGGGTAAGCATGCTCCATCGTAGGTGACATCGTCGTTAACCACCAAGCAACCTTACAATAGTGCTCAAAAGAAATTTCGAAAAAAAAAACCAGCAGTATTAATATAAAAGAATCCATTTCTATAGTTACCTCGCTCCATTATCATATAAATATGTATGTTACGCACGACGTCGCATCATCCCATACATTTTTGACGCAATCCTACAAATATAATAAAAGTTCTACCCCCCTTCCCCTCTCTCAACATCCATACATACAGGGGTGTCTTGTATAAGTAGGTATATCCTTTTTATTTATGAGATATTCATACATACATATGCTAGATGCTGTGTGAGAAATTATTCTGTGTTTTCGAGCTTAGTAGCTGACCGCATCTTCTGTTAAAAGGTTCAGTTACACTTGAAGCGGTTAATTTGTGGATTGGTGATCCCATTTTTAAACGAGACGTAGTATAAAACAAAGTCGCTTTCTCTGTCCCTATATCCCTATGTATGCTTAAATCTTTAAAACTACGCAACGGATTTTGATGCGGCTTTTTTGTTAGGCAGAGTTGAAGAGGAAGGTTTATATGTATAATGCCATGCGGAGCGGAGTAATTTTGTCATCAGCATTAAACCCGTGCGAAGCCGGGGCGCTAGTACAAATACTTATATTATATTATCTATTTACCTGAATGTCGGAAACGGCTACAACGGTTTTCATAAAATTTGGTAGCCAAAGGGTTTTCAGGAGCGATTTATAAATCGGTCTACCTAGGATTCATTTTTAAAAATCTCAAAGTAGGAATTCATTAATAGTTCTTTTATTTTGTGAGGGGAAAATCATCAAATGACTTCTCCCGCTCAGGGCAGGGCGGGAGTGAGTGTCTGACTCTTACTGACTAAAAACACCTCCGTTCCTTCTTCGTTAATAGTTCTAATATTTTAATGAAAATTATCGTAATGGCTGCATGAGAATCAGGTTGAAATCTGGTAAGATCCAATATTATGTACTTTTCAAGTTTTAAAGAGACCATGGCAATTGGTGAAGTGGCTTATTATTTGCAATAATTTGTAATCGAAAATCCGCTTTGAGCAAGCGCAGCGATTAATGCTCAAACCTTGTCTGTGTGAGAAGAGGCCTTTGTTCAGCAGTGGGCACATAAAGACTGATGATGTGAAATGTAATAATATACAAGGAGGAAGTATTTTAGTTTTCGCAAAAATGTAAGATAGGTATAAAAAACAATGTAAACTATAGTAGTCTTAAATGCAAAAATAAATTGTCCAACACTTTCGAAGTGACGTTTGACCCAAAGGATCTCATCGATAAATAAAATAAACAATAATTAGCAGCTATTTATTTATTTTTTAAATAAAATTAGGTTACGTCATGTTCTACTAGGATAAGAACTACGTAGAAAAAAAACAACTCAAAAAATTGAGCTTATTGAAACCTAGAAGCGGCTTCACTTTCATTCTTCAATCACTGTCTATTGCACAGATAAAAAAAAACACAACAGATCGCGTTTAAGGGAATATAAAATATAAAAATACTTGATAATACTTACACGAAAAAAAAAAGTTAAATATTTTAACAAAACAAACAAAAGATTAAATACGACAAGCCCTCGATCCAATTTGAACGCGCATTACATACGCTATTTAGTTTTACTAACAATAAAATAAAAAAATTGCAACAAAGAATTAAAAAAAAATGCTCCCAAAACAATCGCCGCGGGTGGCGGGAATTTGTCCGATGACTGTTGTATTTGATAAAAGACTTTATTTGCTAAGGTATATGGTTGAATATGATTTGCGGTTTAGTTTTTCTAACCCCAAAAACCAGTGATTTGCAATGGCTACCTATTTTAGTTCGTAAGTGTATTGTAGTGTTTCGAAATCTGGTCATTATGATTGTTATGGTATGTAATAGACCCTTTTGTGTCCAAGATAAAAGAATTTTGACGAATTGAAATTTGTTCGAGAAGTTATAATATAAAAATCACGTTGTTTCATTTTGTTTTTTCTTTCACTTATTAGGTCGGTATTTACTTATATAAGATTCAAAATGAATAGGCAAACAGCAATAGTGTTGTATTTCAGTAAATATTAAATTATTTATATAGGATGCTTAGACAAAAATTAAAAAAATACTCAGAGATAAAAAAAAAACTTTTATTTAATTAGTAGAAAAAAGACAGTAATTTAATATTTTAAAAGCAACTAGCGCCATCTACTTTCCAAATCACACAACTGGTAAATATCGTTTAGCGACATCTGTCTTATTTGTTACGAACTACTTCATAGATTGTTTCAGCTTTAAGTTATAATAGTTCGTACGCTATTTAATTGATGTCGTTCAAAAAAAGAAGTTTGTGAAAGGAATAGTAATTATTTCAAAAACACATTAAGACGACGTCTTTTGCATATAAAATACTTAAGTACGCTTTATAAAATACCTAGTTATAAATTAAGTTTGTCGCACACAACATTATATAAATTATAATAATGACAATGGACTTATTGATGGTCCTTGGTACACTATTATCATGTGCTTGACCCAACGTATATAGCGATAGGTCAAGATCAATTAATTCCTAAGATAACTAAGAAAATTCCATTCACATAATGTTTGATTGTTGAAAAATAAAAACAAAACAACAAATACTCTTTAATAAATGTCCATGTGTGCCATTGTTTAATAAATATGTTACATAAATTTAATAGATGATAGATAGTACAATCTAAAAAAGTCTACAGACCTACTTTAATTTCTGGCTACTCTTGCATCACACATAAAATACGCAACAAAAAACATATAATGATATCTACATAATATGGAGTTTCTTACTCGTTTTTCTCCATTCGAGTCTACACTTTGGAACGAGCAAATATCTTCACTGATGAACAGACTGATAGACTGTTATTCCAATTTCAAAAGTACTTACATGTTTCTAGTTTATTTGGAATGTCAAAAATGACATTGACTTTTACTTTGACTTTGACTTTGATAGTCTGTGTTGTATTTATGTCTTTAATAGATTTTAAAATCTGATAGGACAGAATGGAAGAAAAAACTGTTGTTGCAACTCAGCTAGCTTTAAGAGTATCAAGAACATCATAATTCACCTTTATAATTGTAATTCCTTTCATAATTCTTTTTCGTTATTTCTATCTTCAAACTGCTAGGACTCCATCCATCTTCGACATCTCTTGTTTCAATGATGTGCTTGTAGACCAGCGCTGAAAGACGAGCTGTTCTTTCTTTGGTTTCCGATTCAAAATCTACTTCGTAAAGACCAAAGCGTTCACTGAAAAAAGATTTTTGTAATTAAATTTCTAAAGAAGTAGGCATTTGTTATGAGTCCTATGTTTCTAATGGGGAATATGATTTACGCTATACGCTATTTTACCTAACATGATTCCTAAGTTTAATGCCTTATGAGATTTTTTTGAATTAAAGTCTCCATTTTATCTGAGCACGTTTTTGAACCCTTGGCTCTTGCAATTGCAGCGACTTGGTAAGGCAATCCAATTCAATAAAATATTTTTTTAAGGGATAGGTCGGCAAACGAGCGTACGGATTACCTGCCTATGGATAACCGCAACACCAAACGAGTTACTAGTGCGTTGACGGCCTTTTGGGGATAAGGGTTCTGGTTATTTAAGGATTGGGGAGGGATGAGGAGAGGGACAGGAATTGGGGCTCCGTTAACCGTCACTAACATGGCGAAGCACAACGCTGTGATTGTTTCACGCCAGTTTTCTGTGAGGTCGTAGTTGAGCCGACTTATTCATGCCGAAGCTTGGCTCCCCCACACGACTTAAGGAAGAAATTCTCCAAATCTAACTTACAACGTTATAAAATCGACTTCAGCAGACCTCCTGTCTTTTATACTAACCTGGTACCAGCAGTCCACTCGACATTATCCATAAGACTCCACACAGTGTACCCTTTGACTTGAGTCCCATCTTCCATAGCCAGCAGTAAGGCTCCAAGGTAACCTCTCATATTGTCCACTCTGGACTGGTCCCCAAGACCCTTGTTGGTGGACCAGCCGTGCTCCGTGATGATGATGGGAAGATAGTCGTAGTTAAGGTTGAGATGAATTAAGGCTTTGTAAAGACCGTAGGGGGCGCTCTGAAATTTAAAAGTACATACTTAAGTATCTATAAAAGTAATACTGACGAAAGTGATTATTAAAAAACTGTTTAAAATGGCTCATTATGGAAATATAAGTATGTATGAAAACTTATGGACAAAGACGTGCTGATCTGACAATTAGGCTATTAGATAGAAAATCTATTTAATATGGCATTAAAATATAAAATAAGGCAGTTTCTCTCAGTTTTGAATATGGACTTTAGTCCGGGCATTCATTCAAAAGCTTCGATACAACAAACAGTAGTCAAAATTGGAACGTTAGTGCCCTAGGGGACTAAAACAATGTCGTCAGGTTGGTGAAAGACCAGGATTACAAAACAAAAACGATACGACCTTCAAACTTTCAAGAAACGAGCGTACTCCTTCTTAAAAACTGGCAACCTGTCTCTCAGCAGCAAATGATCCGTCTGCTCGTTTGCCTCCATAAAAAAGGAACACATCTCCAATTTTATTCTCACCTTCAGCCAGGAAGATTTGCCAGAAATCCATTCAGGACCTTGTGAGTATATAGTGTTGCGGTCATCTTCCACCGAAGGACCCTCAAACTTCTCCTTACTATGCTGCACCAGGAATGTAGTGTAGTGATTCATACCTAGAAAATCTGCTGACCCTGGAAATTGAAGAATTCTGGATTGTAGAAAATTGATATTGAAGTTAGCTGAGGAAATATATAAGCTGTTTTTGTGTCTCTGAGCCAGTGGTTGGCTGTTGAAGAAACTTAAGAATATGAAAACGCAGTTGTGTTAATGTTGAAGATAATTTTGATGTCGTTAGGTATGTAGTATAGTTAAAAATAAGAAAAGTATCACAAGTCTACATAAAATATGTAGAGTTGTGATCCTTGTGACCAAAGCGCATTATCGAAGGTCTGAAGTTAAAAAATAAAATATTTTCTTTGTAATTAAATTATAAAATCAATGTTCAAACGACCACACCTAACTAAAAGAATCTTCATATTATTTCGTGTAGCTAATTCACGTAAATGTTTGTTGACGGACGCAGCTGGATTCATTTCGAGCCACGCTAAGGGTCCATAAATAATTTCGAGTATGTCTGTCATTGTTCTAGTAACTTATATTACCTTTAAGTAGCTTAATTTCTTCGTTAGATAGCTTTGGTAGTCTGGAAGTCTTGAATCCTTGTTCTTGACTCTTTTTGTCCACTATGGTTCTGACTGTAGGAGGGAAATCACCTTCCTTAGACCAGATTGGGTGCAGGTATATGCCGAACTGGATATTTAAAAAATGTTTTTGATTAGTATGCTGTTTCAAGTTCTTCTATTTCTTAATCGGGGTGCGGATGTTTACTTAAAATATGTTTTATTTCAAATTTTTGAAAATACTTTATAAATATGTATCTAAAAAGCAATCACCCTCACTCAAGTGTGGGCGAACAATGGTGCTGTGATGATGGTGTGATAACACGGTCTCACAAAAAATCGTCGTGAAACAATCACAGCGTTGTGTTTCGCCGTGTGATTGAGGTTACTGTACGTCCAAAACTCTAAATCCAGAAGGTTGATACACTCGGAACTCCTCTTTTTGCAGGTGTCCATAGGCAGCGCCGATTGTTTGCTTACCATCTAGTAATCCATAAGTATGTTTACCATCATTTGACATAAAAAAATCTTTATTTCTATTGATTGAATGAGTATTTCAAGCTTCGTATCGCTAAGAAAGACCCTGATCATGTTATACATGGTGATTCCTTTTTAAGGATGCGACAAATATAATGTATTGATCTAAAGACAGCGACGCAGTTCTGTTGCATGTGTGAGTTCTAAAATGGCTACTTTTCTATCAGATGTGTATTAAGTACTGACCTCAAACGCTCTCGCCCTCTCAGCTGCTTCCTTATTGACAGTGTTGTTATGATCCAATGATTCGAACCAGTTAACTGCCACTGCAAAACCGACGTTACCTGAAACAGAATAAAAACTCTAATTTAATGGTCGGACCACAGAAGTAAGAAAATGTGCAGAAAGCATTTCTTCAAACGATGTACGAACGCATGTTTTACTTATAAGTACTAAGGACAACATATTATCTTAAGAATCCTTCATATTATTTCGTACGGCTCAAGTAAATAATTTATGACGTAGCTGGACTCATTTCGAGCGATGCTAAAGGTACCCTTTCTTTGATGGGTGAAATCACCAAATGTCTTTCTTTACCCTGGGTGAGGCGAGAGGGAGAATCAGACATAGACCCGAAGAGTATAATTATATAGGTTATAGCTCCTCTCACGCGGTTTCAACCGCTGCTCGGCTCCATTTGATCGTAGCGTGATGTTTTATAGCTTATAGCACCCAGGAACATTGTAGCTATCTATCAGTGAAAGAATTTTGGAAATCCGACCAGCGGTTCCAAAGATTACCCCCTACATACAAACTTACAAATTTTACCTCTTTATAATATTAGTATAGATATGCATAGGGAAATGGCGTTAGACTCTTACTGACTAAAAACGGCCCCGTTCTTTCTTCTGCTTGGCCGGGGCCAATGTACATTATTTAGTCTCATCGAAGCTGCTGAACTGCTTTTGTTTCTGACAATTACTATCACAATAGAAAACACCAGTTCTTTTCCGTACTATCTTGAAGAACGGTCAGTAGAGCTGAATCTCCATAAGCTGTACTGATTTCAGGATTCACAGTGTGATTTGTTTTTGGGTGAACGAAGCTTATGTCTTTTGCCAAAGCGATTGAAGTATTGCGAAATAGGTTAATGATTGGAGTAACAATGAAGTGTGTCTTCTATTTTCATCTTTTCATCATCTTCTGTTAGTAATAATCACATGTATAGTATATCAATATAATTATTAACTTTTTTTTTTTTTTTTTGGTGTCGGGTTGGAAAATCCTCATGGAGACCCACCGCCCTCGGGGTAAGGGCGAAGGGTACTGTCAGACTCTTACTGACTAAAAACCAACCCGGTGTGTTCCTCCAATAACCCATGTGTCGGAGGGGCGGGTATCGCCGAAGCATTCGTCGCAACCCCCCGACGGGATATAATTATTAACTAACACTACTTTGGTTATGTAAAGAGTCACAGTTTTCAATAGACTTTCTTGAAGACTTTTAAACAATAAAGAGAATAAATAAAACAAAATATATGCATGCATGAACACTATACTGTATATACTGCTAACACTGATAGCGGTCGTCTGGCTGAATATTTAAACAGGTGATAAACAAGCTATGTTAAATTATGCATCTCATAAACAAATATATAAATACAATACAACGTACAATAAAGGTATTGCTTTCAACTGTGCAACGTGAAACAATGACACAGTCTGGTATTGACTTATGTAATACTTGGTGTATTCCGGTATTTATCAGGTCCATCTCATTGAATTTTTCAGTTCAGTAGTCGTGTCAGAAAGGACGCGAACTCGGTTAATACACGGAGTTACTACGGCCTCTTCATTTCTTTAGGCGATAGGACGGCAAAGTAGCAGACCGATTACCTGATGGTAAGCAGTCAGTACCGCCCATGGACACCCGAAACAATGGAGAAAGATACACGTGCATTGCTGACCTTTTGAGGATTAGGCCTCCGGTAACCTCACTCACACGACGAAATACAACGCTGTGGCTGTTTCTCGCCGGTACTCTGTGAGTCCGTGGGATCATTCCGGTCGAACCGACCCATTCGTGTCGAAGCATGGCTCTTAAACACTTACTCACTTACTTAGAGAATACTGGCGTAAAAGAACTTGTTTTGTCTTTACGTCGAGTTTCTGTTTGAATGTGGTTTTCGGAAGCCCAATCGCCCCGTCCCTAATCCTCAAATCCCCTAACCAAATTCCAAAAGCCCGGAACTTACTATTCCGTGTGTCGTCTATGGATGGCGCCAATTGCCTATCATCAGGTAATCCGTTTATTCGTTTGACAAATACCTTTTATGTGACTTCAACAATAGCGAATAAAACTTCGTGTATAATTAAAGAATCAATCTTACCTTCATGTTCCTTCTTGAACTCCTTCTCATAAAGCCTGTAAGCCTTTGCATGAGCTAACAGGACATTCTTCACACATTCATAAGCTCCAACATCCCTTGCATTAAGTCCTGGGGCCATGAGGTTGCTTCCATAGCCTTCCATACAAATAGTATTAGGTTGGTTTATAGTAATCCAAAATTTGACTTTTTCTGCATATCTTTTGAAAACTATCCTTGCGTAATCCTCGAACCAGGAGACGGATAGTGGATTCGTCCAACCTCCTAGATCTTCTAAATCTTGGGGCAAGTCGAAATGGTAGAGGGTGACCATTGGTTGAATGTCATACTTAAGGAGCTCGTCTATCAAGTCATCGTAATATTTGAAGCCAGCTTCGTTGATTTTGCTTGGGAATCCTGTGGAGGAGATAAAGAAAAAGATCTTATTACTTTAGTGAAGAAAATGAATTTTGAACGTTGGTAAGAGAGAGGTTAAAAAGAAAAAGATGATGAGTTGGGTGGGAAGTGATAGGAAAGATGGAAGTTTGTGTCAGAATGATGTCTGATGTGGGATAATGAAAAAAAAACAAAATACTTTATAGATTGACCCACCATACCATTCGTTTTTGGTATGAAACTTGTCGAATTCTTCAATTAGAGTATTTTGAAGTGGTGTGTAGTGTGTAGAAGCCCTTCTAACATTCAAGAAACGAGCGTAATCCTTCTTAAAAGTTCTGCAACGAATGTGAGCATGCGACTCCTCTGATGTTACAGGTGGTGCTGATCGCTTACCATCAGGTGATCCATCAGCTTTTTTGTCTCCAATTCCACAAAAAAATCCCTAATGGTACATTAATTAATGAGGAATACGAGTAGACAGTAACCAAGTCGATGAATTTGCTAAAATTAGATGTTATCATTATTGTAACGTTTGTGTCATTTCTTGGTTTGTATTATATTGTATTGTTTGTTTATTATTCTCTATCTAACTGACCTATATTGTCAAAGAGATTGTGTTTCATAAGAGAATGGGTTCTGGTGAGTTGCGTCATATGTTAACTTAGAGCGATAAATTACAAAATTGAGTGTGTTATACATATAGGTAGCACAGCAGTCTTACAATAATTGGTTTGCCCTTCTGGTTAGAATCAAAAATTTCTTTTAAACCGAAAGTAATCGACTTTAGTAAAAGTAATAGTACTTTTTATAATCGTTATGAGTGACGGAGATCTTACTTATCATACTTATCAATGTTATGAATTCAGATTTCTCTACTCCTGAAAATTTTAATGCCAACGTATAGACCGTCTGTAATAATTCAAAAATCACATTATAATGACGTGGAATATGAAATACTAGCTACTCTCGCGCGGTTTCACCCGCTGCTTGGCTCCATTTGATCGTAGCGTGATGTTTTATAGCCTATAGCACTCAGGAACATTGTAGCTATCTATCAGTGAAAGAATTTTAGCAATTTAACCAGCGGTTAACCCCTATATACAAACTTAAAAACTTGCAAATTTTACTTCTTTATAATATTAGTATAGATGAGAAATTGGAACTGCTTAACAAAATGCCATTATATTACCTGTAGGCATAACCCTGGGCCACGATATGGAGAACCTGTAGAAGTCCACGCCCAGCTCACGTAGCATCTCCACGTCTCGCTTCCACAAGTGGTAGGAGTCACTGGCAACATCTCCATTCCTTCCATCAGTTATCTTCTCTGGATGATCGTGGGCAAACCTGTCCCATATGCTTTCACCTTTGCCTGGAAACAGGAAAGAGATTTTGAACCGTTGTCCGTGTTTTTATGCTTTCTATTAATATAAGGGCCCGTCAGTTACGCTCGGGTCGGCGTTACGAGCGCACGTATTATTATCGGCTCACATTAGCTGGTGTTTTTTTTTTCCGCTTACCCGCACTTTTGTTATTATGGAAGACGAAAATAGCGAAGAAGATAATGAGGTGATATTGACCAATAAAAACTATCTAGTTATTAAGAAGCAAGGAGAAAAGAGTATGACGAATTTGCCCAACTTACATGATATTGGAGAAAGTAGAAATGAGAAGAGAAAAAGCTTAGATCAAAGCGAAGAGTCGATCAGTGAAAACGATTTCATTACGGTTACTAGAAGGAAGACAAAAGTACGTATCAGAAGTGATTCATTTGATATACCCACGACTGAAATTAATATGCAAAATGAGGAGGTAGAAGAAGAAAATTATGTGATATGCATAACATCCTCACAATGTTTGCCAAAACAGATGGCTATGGCTAAATTATTGCGCACCTATAATCACCGCAATATTACCAAAATAAAATATAAAAGCCCATTTAAAGTTTTGGTGCAATTTGAGACATTGGAAGATGCAGAAAAACTTAACAATTGCCCTAAGTTTCAAGAATTAGGTTACCGGTGTGAAAAAACGAACAAAAAAAATATATGTTTTGGAATAGTGAGAGGAGTAGATTTGGAACTGAAAGAGGAAGAGATAATGGAAATTTTAGAAAGTTCTGCGAAAATTTTAGATGTAAAAAGATTGAAGAGAACAAACTCCGAAGGGAAATGGGTAGAAAGCGAAACCATTAGAATACGATTCATGAGCACTTCTTTACCGGATTATATATATGCCTATGAAGTGAGATTCAAAGTAGAACCCTATTCATTCCCAGTCACCCAGTGCTCCGCTTGCTGGAAGTTCGGACATTTCATTAAATATTGCCCAATTAAAAAATCTATATGCCCAAAATGCGGTGGAGATCATGACAATTGTTTGACTACCAACTTCAAATGTGTTAATTGCAAGGGATCGCACATGGCCTTAGATAAGGAATGCCCTATATATCTTAAAGAGAGAGCTATTAGAGACCTAATGACATCACGAAATATGTCGTATCGAGAAGCGCTGGTACTGTACCTAAAGGAAAGACCTAAGAGAAAAATATTACCTAACACTGAAGTAGTATCTGCCACAAAGGACAAGGATGACACTTACACATCAACTCAGGAACCTACAAAAATGGTAAACTACGAAACAACGATAGCCGAGGTGCATGTAGAAGACGAAGACTCTGTAAGCAACTGTACAGAACCGAGCGTCATCCTCAGCAACACATACACTAAAAAGAAAAATAAAAAGAAGAAAAACCGGAAAGGCAAATCAATCTCACAGGAGGCTATGGATATCGTGGACGTCGTGAACGAGAACAACGGACAAGAAAGAGACACTCGATCCAGCTCAGGAAACAAAAAGGGGTTTGATTTTAAAACATTTATAAGTAAGACTGAAAGAATAATATTGTCTAGTAGTAATTTTGAGTCTAAATGCATTGATTTTTTTAAGCTTTGTATAAAAGAAGTTAAGTCATTATTATTTAAGTTTATTACTAAGACGGAGATTATTTCTAGTTTATTAGCTTATTTTGATGGCTAAGTCACCTCATAAAAAAATTGATGTCAATATTTATCAATGGAACGCCCAAAGTATCCGTCCTAAACTTGCAAGTTTTGATTTGCTACTAAATAGAGAAAAAATACATATTGCTATAATAAGTGAGACCTGGTTGGACGTTGATGAGTCATTAAACATTCGTGAATACAATGTGTTTAGAAAGGATCGCTCCGATTCCTATGGGGGTGTAGCTATTTTGATTCACAAATCTATACAGGCAATACAATGTCCTATGGATTTGAGTGTCGGAATAGAAGCTGTCTATGTTAAAATACTTAATTGTAGTCAATTACAACATATAGTTTCTATATACTGCCCATCTTCGGTTCATACCTCTTACTCTGATTGGGACACATTGTTTTCAAAATTTTCAAAGAATACTCTCATAGCGGGTGATTTCAATGCTCATCAGACTAGCTGGTCATATAAAAACGACACTAGAGGAACCCATATTTTTAATGCGATGCTGAATAATAATTTTGTTTTTCTTAATAACGGCGATTACACAAGGGTCAAATTAGTTAATAATAGTTTACAGGAGAGTTCCCCAGACATTACTTGTGTTACCACAGACATAGCAATAGATTTTAATTGGCGAGTCTGTAACGAAAATCTAGGTAGTGACCATCTTATTATTAAGATTTCAATGCACTATCAGGAGGATCTGACATATATTAAGAAACGTAATTTGAAGCTAGCTAATTGGCACACCTATCGCGAGTCTCTCATACAATTCTTTGCAAATACCTCCTCTCCTCAGAATGTGCAGGAGGCTTACGACCTCTTTATTGGAAATATTAATAAGGCTGCAGATATTAGCATACCTTACTTAAAAATATGTACTAACCCCAACACCAATTTCAAACCAAAACGTTATTGGAATCAGTCACTTTCCATGGCGGTTGCACAACGTAGGCTGGCATTAAAAAAATTTCGTCGTAATCCGACTCCGTCCAATCTTGAAATGTTAGAACAAAAAGTTAATAATGTGAAAAACCTCATCAATCAATCAAAATCGCAACAATGGCAAAAATTTTGTAATGACTTAAATGAAAAAACGTCAGTTTCCGAGGTTTGGCAGCACATGCGGTGGATGAAAGTTTACAATAAACGTCGAACTTATCCATCTCAAGAAAAAATAGATCAACTTATATGTAATCTAGCCCCTGACTCTGTGAATAATTGCAGCCCCATATTTTCATCAGTTAATCAGCTTCTTGAGTCGAAATTAGAGTTTTCTGAACTTCAATGCTGTCTGAAAAAGAAGGATTCGACTCCAGGAGTTGATGAGGTAGCCTATTCAATGTTGTATTACCTCCCTGAAGTTGCTAAAAAATACTTGCTAGATTTATATAACATTATATTTACAACTGGTCTTGTGCCCATGCAATGGCGAAAAATACAAATAATTCCGATACCTAAAGGACCTGATCCCGACTCGAAGCTGAGACCCATATCCCTTATATCGTGTGTATGTAAAACCTTTCATAACATACTAAATAAAAGAATAGAATGGTATATCGAAAAGCATAAAATCTTATCCAACCGTACTAGTGGTTTCCGGAGAGGGCAATCGTGTTTGGATTGTTTGGTTCGTTTGGTGTCACACATCCAAATAGGATTTACTAAAAAAACTCCTACTTTGGCATGTTTTATAGACATACAAAACGCATATAATAATGTTGCTGTTAGTGAGGTTGTTAATACTCTTGATGGTCTAGGCGTGGGAAGTAAAATATGTAAATATCTTTGGTCATTTCTAAGTGAGAGACACCTCGTAATTAAAAGTGAAGACGGTCTTAAAAATATTTTCAGATGGACCAATATAGGACTGGCACAAGGTGATCCAATTTCTCCCCTCCTATTCAATATAGCTACTTATAAAATGTGTAATGTGCTGCAGAATGTTAACTCACTACAATATGCCGACGATTTTATAATTTACTTAAGCAATAAGAACTTAAGATACTGTGAGGCCAATATCGAAAATGCATTAAAAACATTCAGCTGCATATGTAAGGAACTTGGCCTCGCTATTTCTGAAGATAAATCCAAAATATGCCTTTTCAGTAGAGGGCGGTCAACAAAATTAAACAAAATTGAAATTAATAACACACCACTTCAATCAGCAGAAAACATAAAATATTTGGGAATGTGGTTAGACCGGTCATTATTATGGAGAAAGCATATTAATGAAATAAACGAAAAATGTGCTAGGTATTTAAATCTACTGAAGACGTTGGCTGGGCCATCATGGGGGGTTCATCCGAAATTTATACGTAATTTGTATATCGCACTTATCAGAAGTCGTATGGATTACGGTAGCTACTTATACGGAAATAGTGCTAAGTCTAATTTATACAAACTCGATAAACTTCAAAATATCGCTTTAAGAATAATTGGAGGATTTATTAGAAGCTCGCCTATTCATGTTATGGAATCGGAGTTGTGTATCCAACCCTTGCACATTAGGAGACAATTTTTAGCACACAAGTACTGTTTGAAGGCCCTCTCTTGGTCTGATAATTTGACGATTAAGGTGCTGGACAAGCTTGGCACTCTTTGTGATACGCACTATTGGAGGAACAAAATAAAACCTTTGCTTATCACAGCTTACAATAATACCAAACTTGATACCATACACTCGAGTGAAATTCTAGAAATGTTTAGTCTTAATGTTTGGGTTTCATATATAGACGTAAATAATTATATTCATACCAGTTTAGATAGTGTTTCTGTTCCTAAAAAGCTGTGTAACCTTAGCATAATTAGATTTAATGTTATTAGTGAATTACATGAAAAATACCATGGGTACCATCCAATTTTTACAGATGGCTCAAAAAATTCGATAATCCTAGGCGCTGCATTCTATGACCCGCTTCTTAAGGAATCTGTGTGTTATAAAATAGACAGCAACATCTCTATTATGTCGGCGGAGCTGGTTGCAATCTCAGAAGCCATTTTTTATTGTTTGAATTTAAATTTAGATAAGGTGGTAATCTTAACTGACAGCAAGAGCGCCCTCCACCATTTGGCTCGATGCGCCTCTGGCTTCAGAGGTGCTTCGGTAGCCTACAAAATTCTCGAATGTCTACACATTTTTAATCAAGATGGGAGAGTTCTGAGATTGCAATGGGTACCGTCTCATATAGGTTTAGCAGGCAACGAAGAGGCTGACCGGCTTGCAAAACTAGCAACTACTGAAGGTATACCAATATCTGTAAATCCGTATAATTCCGAGTTGTTACCGAAGGTAAAATCTATAGCTTACGATCACTGGAAAGAATACTTTGATATACGTAGCAAAGAAAAAGGAATATGGTATAAAAGTTTACAAAGTGAGCCTCCTCGAGTGCCTTGGTTCGTAATCACTTCACTTAATAGATCAATGTTGAAATTAGCTTTTAGACTTCGTTCAGGACACTATCCATCGGCAAAGTTTGCACATCTGATGAGAAAAGCTGACACACCGAATTGTCCAACTTGTGAAAAGATTGAGGATGTGCAACATTTGTTGATGGAGTGTGTCCGGAATAAAGTGGAACGGGAGTCGTTGTTGAGAAAGTATGGCATTGCAAAGATGAACGTAGGTATCATACAGAGTGCTTTAAGTGAGCCTTCATCAGAAATAGCACAGGCGTTTTACTTGCTAGTGCCGCAGACCTAGCACCGACCCTCGTAATTATTTATAAACATGATAGGATAAGTACTATGTGTTAATAGTTATAAGGAACAATGGGTTTGATATGTTAGTTTTAACCAAAAACCCTAAATAAAATTAAATAAAAAAAAAAAAAAAAATATAAGGGCCAGTGATGCCGTTTACACAGGATTATTATCTTGTCTTTTAGCTAGAGATATTTCAAGTGATTAGTCGAGGTCTTGATAAACGCCGTTAGGCATTTTTGTAAGGGCAAAATCATCAAATGACTTGTCCTGCCCAGGGTAGGGCGGGGGAAGTGTCAGACTCTTACTGACTAAAAACCCCCCCGTTCCTTATCCTGCTCTACGCCAAGGCCGCGGTGCCTTATTGCGCTTGCCTCGTAATCTCAGCTGAACATCAGCACCATAGCCCTATAGGGTCCCGTTTGTGGGACATCAATCCTAGTTGGCCCCATAATGCCAATAGGCTACCATGGGGCCCGCTAGAACTGATGGTCTAGATGCAAGCGCAATGATGTTCCATGGCCCGACTCCAAGCAGGAAAAGAAACGGAATGGAAGTTAGTCATTCAGTCAGTCTGGACATTCCTTCTCCAATTTACCCCAGTATCGAGGAAAAACGGAGAATTGGAAAGGCGGAGGATCTCTTGTTGTTGTTGATTGATAAATGTAATACGTTTAAAAATCAGCCCAACTTACAGGAATACAATTGTGGCGTCCCTGGGACCCACTATTAGTATTGTTACCAGATATTGTTTATGGTCGCCATTGATTATCTATGGTTTTAATTTTGACATAAGAACTTTGGCGCCACTTTTCGCGCGGTTAGACATGTAAGGACAAGTTGATTACAAATATATAACATTGAACACGTATTTTATTTAAAAGTACGCCTCTAATTTACTCGGCGTACGAAGCCAAACAATCATAAGGATGTGAACCTAATGACGTCATATAAATCAAGTTTCAATGTACTTAAATAATTATTAAAAACATATTTTTCAGAGAAAATTTCATATGATTGGGCCACGTACACCCAGGTAACAAATCGACCCACATAGAATTAAAATACGACCGATATAAAGTCGAAAGATAACATTATCGTTTAATCAAAGAAAGATAAAAATGTATTAATTGTTGTTGTCTTTTTTAAATTAAATTGTAGTGTTATGTAATGATTAAAGTGCCGATTCATGATACAATTTGTTTAAATAAAGATTGTATTATTAGTTGAGTGATTATCAAGACAGGTTTCAATTCTAGGATAATAGTACCTAGGTTTTTTTATGTAATAGGCCGACAAACGATCAGACGGAATACCTGATGGTAAGCAATCTGCGCCGCCCATGGACACCTGCAACGGAGGAGTTACGAGTGCGTTGCCGACCTTTTAGGTATTAGGGTTTTGGAGGTTAAGGGATTGAGGAGGGGAAGGATTGGGTCGCCGGTAACCTCATTCACACCGCGAAACACAACACTGTGGTTGTGTCACGCCGGCTTACTGTGAGGCCGTGATATTACTCCGGTCGAGATAACCCATTCGTGTCGAAACATGGCTCTCCCACTATTAATTTCCTATCTAGTAACATACATTAATCTATTATATCTAGATAATAAAAAGGAGCTGTTTATATAACAAATACATAACAATACTTATGTACATATCAATGTCATTGAAGAATGATCTGGCAAAAGGCAATGATTGTGCAATTTCATAGCACGAACGAAGCGGAAGAGATGCTGTATTTTGTATGTAAGTACGTACTTATATATATTAGGTATACGTGTATATTTGTCTATATACTCTTATATACTAACAGTGACATAGGCAGAAATATATCATTATCATTATACTATAGTTTAAAACAAAGTCGCTTTCTCTGTCTCTATATCCTTATGTATGCTTCAATCTTTAAAACTACTCTACGGATTTTGATGCGGTTTATTAAATAGATAGAGCGATTGAACTGGCATGTTTATATGTTTAACAATATCCATTAAATAGTTTTTTTTCTTTATGTAATAGTTCGGCAAACGAGCAGACGGGTTACCTGATGGTAAGCAATCAGCGCCGCCCATGGACACCCGCAACGGAGGAGTTACGAGTGCGTTACCGACCTCTTAGGAATTAGGGTTTTGGAGATTAAGGGATTGGGGAGGGATTGGGGGAACGGAAGGATTGGGACTCCGGTAACCTCACTCACACGGCGAAACACAACGCTGGCGTTGTTTCACGCCGGTTTTCTGTGAGGCCGTGGTATCACTCCGGTCGAGCCGACCCATTCGTGCCGAAGCATGGCTCTTCCACACTTATATATTTAATAGTATATAATTTTAGTACCAGCATTGCACCCGAGCAAATCTGGGGCGAATCGCTAGTATATGTATTAAGAAGATCGTGTTAATAACGCCATATACATATATGTAACTCAAGAACAGCTGAACCATTGTCGATGGGAATTAGTGGGGATGTAATGGGTAGGTGACTACTGGTAGAGCAGTGTAGGTAATCAAATGACGGGAGTGAAGCCGCGGGTATAAGGTAGTTTAGACTATTTAAATTTAGAACTCATTCTCGTCATTGTCATATTACGTTATAATCAGCAGTAAGTAGTGCGTAATCAAATCAAATAAAATAAAGACAAAATTATCTTCGTCAACTGTTTGTAGGCACATATCTCAAGAACAACTGCACTGAATTCGACGTTCTCGAGTGCGTTACCGACCTTTTGGGGTTCAGGGATTTTGAGACTTAGGAATTGGGCCGTCGATAACCTCGATCACTCGGCGAAACACAACGCTGTGGTTGTTTCACGCCGGTTTTCTGTAAGGCTGTGGTGTCACTCCGGTTTACCTGACCCGTTAGTGCAAAAGCTTGGTTCTCCCAAATTTAAATATGTGTGGTGGTCTAATGGCTCTTTACGGCGTACTCTGGGGTCTGGTTCTGGACAAGCGGCGAATTTCCCTTGCTCAGCACCATTCATCATCACTACCATCTATTGAAGCTCCTTGACAGACAGTTATGAGTAAGCCTTCAAACATTATAATTAATTTACCGTCTTCATTCCAAGCCCCCTCCACTTGATACGCTGATGTCGCTGCTCCAAAGAGAAAGTTCTGAGGGAACCTTCTCTTCCTGGTGTCCGTCCAGCCATCAGAACCAACCAGGATACTGAAAGATCACACATCTTTTTACACTACTATAATTAGCCACCCGGCATAATTGTCTTCGTGGTAAAGTTCCCAGATAATAATAATATAAAAATTCTGGAGAAAATTCAGTAAAAGTAATTACAAGTTCAATTCTTTTCGCGGACGCGGAAATAGTGTGTGTTTGCCTATGGATTTGCAAAAGACATTTTTTTTAATATATTGGAAAAATCCGTAAGTACGTTTTTTTTTAATTCTGGCAGCTGAGGATTTGAATTTGGAATGAAAACTATGGCTAAATAAACGGCTGTCGACCAAAAAAGTAAAATAAATGAACCGTTTAATTCTAGACTAGTAAGGAAATTGCTACTCTTTTTTATACAAATAAAAAAAATAACTTAAGTCATTATTGATAATGCTCTGACAAATATTCTTATAATGTGCACTTCACTATTCACTGCAATCCTTTATTTCCTTTAAATCCAAGAACAAACACAAGCAACAGAGACTATAAACACACACAAGATAAAACACAATTTCATAAAACATTTTTTTCCTAAATTTCAGCGCGAACGACAAACAATTTTAAACCAACAAAACACGTATTTAAAACTCAATTTCATTTAAAATATCTTACTTTAACAATAACAGAGCTAGAACGTGCATCCTCTTTGGTAAACCGAACTATACTTCGCACAATTGTATTATCAAAAGGATTAGATAATTTACGCCTATTAGCTACGACAGCGCTGACAAATTTAGAACGTTACGGATAAAAATGGAATTAATTGGCGCATGAACAAAATCGTGTCACGGCTGAACAAAGTCGCTGAGATAGTAGCGACATTGTGTGTCCTATTTAGTTTGGTAGGGTTATCATTTTATCTAATTAATTTTGATTAGCTTTTTTAATGTTCTGATTACTGTGATTTCTTTTTTAATAGGTACAGATACCTATGAAAGAAATTTCTCGCATGTAATGGATGCATACTTAAATTACATAATCAGTGGACAGTTATTTGTTATTTACATACAGTTTCAGAGTAATATTTTCAGGCCATCATTCTTTGTATTTATTATTGTAAAAGATGGTCATATAGAAAATTGCTTTTTTAAGTGAGGGAGAGCCAAGCTTCGGCACGAATGGGTCGGCTCGACCGGAGTAATACCACGGCCTTACAGAAACAGCTGCAGCGTTGTTTTCACCACGTGAGTGAGGTTACCGGAGGTCCAATCCCTCCCCTTCCCCTCATCTCTTCTCACTGATTGCTTGCTTACTATCAGGTAAACAATCTGATCGTTTGCCGAACTATACAGTAAAAAAAAATCCTCTCAACCTCGGGTGGGGCGAAAGGGAATGTTAGATTGTGGTTTTGAAACCCCTACTATATAATTACTCGATTCCTTATACTAACGCTGAACTTATTAATAATTATTTTGTTTTAATCGTCCTAGTTATGCTTGCCGTTGCTGAAAATGAAAAATCTGTATTTTTAATAATTAATTAATATAAAAGTTTATATACACAGTTAACGACATAAGAAAAATAATACAACAATTAGGTACACAGTCGTAGTGCAATAATGAGTTATTTTCTTACACCGCCATCTATCTGAATTATCACTAAAATTCATCTTATAACTTAGGTTGCGTTTGACAACATAGATGTCGTTTTTTCAGCTTTGTTTTAAAACTATAAAACACATATTTGATTGCGAATGATTTCGAAGCAAACTTAGATCAAGTCGATAACCTGGAAAAGATAATTTTAATCGGTTTAATGTGTTAGCAATATGTGGACATAAGTGTGAAAGAGCCAAGCTTTGGCACGAATGTGTCGGCTCGACCGGTGTGATACCACGGCCTCACAGAAAACCGGCGTGACACAACCACAGCGCTGTGTTTCGCCGTGCTAGTGACGTTACCGGAGGCCCAATCTTTGCCCTCTCGCAAACCTTCTCCAATCCCAAAACCTCCAAATCCCTAATCATCGAAAGGCCGGCATCGCACATGTAACTCCACCGTTGTTTCAGGTCCATGGGCCGCGCTGATTGCTTACTATCAGGTGATTCGTTTGTTCTTTTGCTGTCCATGACAATCCAAAACATGATGTTTTAAGAAAAGGAATCCATAGGTAGCGATGGCTTCAATATAATCTAAATGCTAATACTAATGCAAAACTGCAAAATGTTGCTAAGAGAAAACGTCAGAGCGTTTGAACTAATACAACAAAATATATCGGATATCGATACTTTGAATAGAAAAAATATTTTTTTACGATTTTTCGTTAATTATATCTGATGGGTTTGATGATGAAAGAAAAGAAAGAAAGAAAAAAAACATTTACATGGATTCTAGATTTAATAGAATATTAGTATTTCTTGAAGTACATCAGACTGATATCTAAATTCAACAACAAAGCCTTTTTTATAATTTTTTGACGGGGTAATATCATAAAATGATTTTCGAGAGAGCAAAAAAGTATACATACTTAGTATGAGGTCCAATATAAAATAAGTAAATGGATAATTATTTATTGCATACCAAAAAAATTATGGAGTACAAGTTAGTTAAAAAGGTAAATTAATGACATTAACATAGGTACCTACATATGCTCTCAGTATGTTATAGATAATGGTTATACTAACTACTAGCTACTCTCACGCGGTTTCACCCGCTACTCGGCTCCATTTGATTGTAGTGTGATGTTTTGTAGCCTATAGCACTAAGGAACATTGTAGCTATGTCTCAGTGAAAGAATTTTGGCAATCCGACCAGGGGTTCCAAAGATTACCCCCTACATACAAACTTACAAATTTTACCTCTATAATAATAGTATACTTAGATTATTTGTATGCAAGAAACCCCTCCTCAAGTGAAAGCTTGGAGGAACCATCTCCCTCTTAAGAGCTAAATTTCTTATATCTGAAGGTGGTTGCGAGCAGAATGAACCAACTACCCTTTCAGTTCATCTTCCCATCTCATCAGGAAGGCCTTTAAGAAACTTACCGATTGGACACTTTGACATTGCTGCCCTGCTCTTTCTTTATCCTCGCTACATGTCTAGCCCACTTCCATTTTAGTTTTTAGCCTTGGTAAGAGCATTCATCGCTTTTGTGGTTTGCCTGATTTTTGTGTGTCGAATTTTTTTCATGTACCAAGTCGAATAGTAATATAATCACTACATAGTATGAAACAAAGTCGATTTGTCAGTCCCTATATTCCCATTATGCTTAAATCTTTAAAACTACGCAACAGATTATGGTTGAAGAGGAAGGTTTATATGTGTAAGTATGTATATGTGTAACATTAATTAAATAGTGGAGGAATTTGGTATCAGCAGCCGGGCCAGGTCGCAGGTCAAAAATAAAACTAAACAAAACAGAACATTTTAAAAATTAGTTTTAATATAAAACAGTGTTTAATAAAATCATTGAGTTAAAAACAACAAAATGGTCATCAATGTCCCTCATCGATAGTCATGGTCATGCTCTCTGGGTCGTATTCATAGTCCACGGCGCGATGTTTGATGATGTGCTTGTACACGAACGCTGACTTCCTGGGGGTGCGCGTGCGAGCAGGGTCCGAGAAGTCCACCTCGTAGAGGCCAAACCGCTCACTATGGAAGAGGTTTTGGTTATTTTTTCAATCACCTACATAAGTAATTATGTTTTCTGTGTGTGCGTCGCTTGCGCAAAAATAAATGTTTTTCTTTCTCTTCTTTCTTCTTCTTTCAAGTATTGGATGTTCTGAAGACTGAATTGCACTTAACCGGGTAACTGAGGATTCTGATAAACCTGATAATGTTAAGCATATAGATTTTGGCCAACTCTTAGATGTAATGAAGCATGGGAGAGCCTTCAGCACGAATGGACCGGTTTGACCAGAGTGATACTATGCACGGCCTCACAGAAAACACAACTGTTTCACTGAGTGACTGAAGTCATGGATGCCCAATGCCCCTTGCTCATCTCCAATCCCAAGGCAACGCACTGGTAACTCCTCGATGTTGAGGGTGTGCATGGGCGGCGCCGACTGCTTACCATCAGATAAGCAGTCTGTTACTTTTGACCTTTACAATAGGAAATATAGAACAGAATCATTGTCCAGTAGTGTTCTAGCTAAGATTGATGATGATGATGAAAATATTGTAACTGGATGGAGTCAACATTGTTGATAAAGATTTAAGTAATAAACCAGGTTTTATGGAACCTTTACCAAAATATAAGAAAAAGTGTGATCAAAATTCAGTACTGGCGTAAGGGCCACTGACACCCCGGGCGAAAATATTGTGGCGTCCACCTGAGGGTAGCAATATCAAGTGTTCGTTTTTTGATGATCGTATCGAGTCACTCCTTGACTCTCAAAAAATCCATTAAAAAAAATCGCAATAAAAATATGCATGTGCAAAGAGCATAGAGCACAGTTCTGGGAGTTTGCACGAGGAGAGGCAAGAGACTCCAACTTCGGACCTTGGCGCCCCCCAGAATTTGTCACCTAGGTCCATCGCCCAATCACGCCCTTCCCCCTCCCCTAACGCCGGCACTGTCAAAATTGGATAGAATATTTGAATTTGCGATCAAGATCTTAGGGCATCTGATACAAAACTATAGTCTGCGAACCTCCTCGCATACCACGGTTTTCAAATGTTAAAATGTGTCGAAAATTTTTGGTTATAGCTGTCAGGCTGAGATCCGAGCATATGCCGCTTAACAACTTTTCTTTTTTAATGAAAAAAATTGCTTTTCCTAAATGTGAGGTGTGTGATATGGTGGAAGACGTTATCCATCTCTTAGCAGAATGTGTCCGGTTTCAGGATGAGACAGGTAAACTGATTAAAGACTTAGGTCAAATTAAGAAAAATACAGGTTTGTTCCACGAAATTTTATCTGCACCTTCAAGTGATGCGGCCAAAAAGTTGTATAGTTTCAAAAGTCTTCATTTTAAGTGATAGATGATAGAATTAAGTTTAGATTAATTATGTATTGTAATGTCTTTATAGTATTATATTATTAGGTAGGATAGGACAGCAATGGTGTCCTATGTACAAAAGCTCCTTAAAAAAAATAAAGAAAAAAAAAAACATTCTTGATAAAGTTTGATCCACAGTCAGGTAATTCAACAATCAGTACTTACACATAACCCTGCATCCATTCAAAATTGTCCATCAGACTCCAAGCCATGTACCCCTTGAGGTTGATGCCATCATCCAAGCAGTTCAAGAGGCTCTCCATCGAAGCCCTATAGTAGGTGATCCTGTCTTCATCAATTAGACCAGCTTCATAATAAGTAGACCATCCATTCTCAGTCACGTAGAAATTGGGGTTGTTGTACCTTTCTTTTAAATGCTTTAGTGCGTTGAAAATGCTGTTTGGCGCCAACTGAAAGATGGGCATAAGATTAATCGGACATTTAATAGAACAGAACGAGATTTAATAGAAAAGAACAGAAGATATTTGATGTTTTTTTTTTCCTTTTTAATAAACGTTGCCCCACTTTAGGGTTTTCTCCTGTGTCGTGGGTGTGCGGTTACAAACATACAATTTCACATACACATCACACCCAGACCCGGAACAACAATCTGTGGATCACACAAAGAGTTGTTCCGTGCGGGAATCGAAACCGCGACACGTTGCACGGCAGCCAGTTGCCCAGCCACCACACCAACCGTGCAGTCCAAGATGTTGTTTAAATCAAAGATGTTGTTTAATGTTTTGCTGTATATGGAGCTGAAGGCAGGTTCATTTAAAGTACCCCTTTAAAAGAAGATGAAGGTAAGAGTTTTTCGCAGTAGATATCAGTTTTTTACCAAATGCGGTTCCATATTTCAATTATATTCATAATTTACCGCCATACTCAGAGTCTGTCAATGGTCACATAATCAAGTTTTATTTTAGGTATAATTCATTTTAGTTATTTCTTAGGTCGAGCAGACGGATTGTCTGATGGTAAGCAATCGGTGCATAGACACTCATTATACTAATGGAGTTACTAACTACAAGTGCGTTGCTGGCTTCTTGTGGGTTTAAAGAATTGGGTAGTTTCCTAGGTCAAAAATAAATTAATTCGACGACGTTTCAACACAATAAGATATTGAAAAATAACTATACTTTCATTGATCGATCGATCGATCCACTAAGTTTTAGATATTTTGTAGCTAATTATCAAGAAATAAGTAAACTATTTGACGCAAAAAAAAACTATGACGTCATAGCTCATTTTCATAGAATAGTAAAGTTTTTGACATTTCGATAAAAGTATTGAAATTGACTAGTTGGAAACTACCGTATTAGAGGATAGGATTGGGCTCCCATGAACTCATTCAGAAGGCGTAACACAATGTTAGTGTTGCTTCACGCCAGTTTTTCTCTGAGGCCGTGCTTACACTCTAATCAATCCGACCCATTTGTGCTGAAGCATGGCTCTCGCAAGCTTCGTTATTAAGATCTTTGAATATGGCAGTTAAAGTCGAGTACAATAATGTCAATCACCTGATTAACCCTTCTAAAGCTACAGTTTATGAAGAACACTTAACCAATTATATTACCACAAGCCAAGAAGAAGCTGATGTAGCCCAGTCATCTGGCGCATAATGGCCAACATCCATATCATCCAAGAGTGACGGCACCGGGACTATCTCCTTGTATAATGTAGCAGAAATCAGTCTTGCAGTGTAATGGTTCACTCCAAAAAAGTCTGATGATCCTCTCACAAAGTCTTTCTCTTCTTCTGTGAACTCCGGGAGACGAGACCGTCTGTATCCTTGCTTAGCACTTTTCTCTGCAACTCTTTCGGAGAATTCTTTAGGAAATCCTCCTTCGGATGAGAAGATAGGGTGTGCGTAAATACCCCACTGAAAATAAGCAGGAATATACAATTTTTCAGGATTTACAATTGTAAAGAACTATTAAAATTGCAAACTTTGTATAAAAATATATTTGATAAATAGTTTTTTATGCAGGAGATATATATTTTTTCTGTCTGCAATAAAATCATCAAATGACTTCTCTGCCCAGGATGAGGCGAGAGAGAGTGTCCGACTCTTACTGAATAAAACCCCTCCCACATTCCTTCTCCTACTTTATGCCGAGGCCGCGGTACCTTATTTCGCTAGCCCCGCAACCTCGGCGGAACATCAGCCCTATAGCTCTCTGCCTGTAGTGAAGTATTCCCTAAATAAAGATTTAAATACCTCGGCTTGTCTCTTGATCTCAGCAGCCATTTGATCTTCAGCAGAATCTGTAGCTGGGCCAAACCAATTTACACTGATGGTAATACCGCACTGTCCACCTTGAGTTGGCTTAAACTCCTTATTGTACAGGTGGTAGGCCTTCGCATGACCTATCAACAGGTGCTTTGCACACAAATATGTTCCCACGGCTGTGGAGTTTAAGATGGGAGCCTTAAGATCACCTCCGTAACCCTGGTAACAGATCTCTCTAGGCTCGTTGAAAGTGATGAACATCTTGACTCTGTCTCCGAAGTTCTCAAAGACAACCCTCGCGTAGTCTTCGAACCAATCGCTGAAGACAGGGTTAGCAAAACCACCCAAGTCCTGCAGCTTTTGAGGAAGATCCCAATGATAGAGGGTTACCATCGGAGTGATATTGTATTTCAACATTTCATTGATATAGTTGTTGTAAAAAGTGATGCCAGCTGGGTTGACCTCATTGGCCATGCCTGTAGGGAGGATCCGAGGCCAAGAGAGGGAGAACCTGTAAGCATCCAGGCCTAATTCCCTCATCATCTCGACATCACGCTTGTAGTTGTGGTAGGAGTCAGCAGCGACGTCACCGTTGGTCACGTCTCTGATGACACTTGGATTAGTGTGGATCATATGATCCCAGATATTTTCTCCTTTGCCTGGAAAAAGAAGAACATTGTTCACGAAATTGTTTGGGAAACTTCTTTTTTTATTCTTGATTTAATGTTAAATAAATAATTGTAAGAATAAAAATAAAAAGTGAGGGAGAGCCATGCTTCGGCAGGAATGAGTCGGCTCGAACGGAGTGATAATACGACCTCACAGAAAAACGACGTGAAACAACCACAGCGTTGTGTTTCGCCGTGTGAATGGTGCTACCGGAGGCCCCATCCTTCTTCTCCCCCCAATCCCTAAATCTCCAAGTCCCTCATCCCCAAAAGGTCAGCAACGCACTCGTAACTCTTCTGTTGCGGGTGGCTATGGGCGGCGCTGATTGCTTACCATCAGGTAATCCGTCTGCTCGTTTGTCGACATAAAAAAATAGTTTACCATCTTCATTCCATGCTCCTTCGATCTGGTAGGCGGCTGTAGCGGCTCCAAAGAGGAAGTCATCAGGGAACCGACGCTGCTGCCTCACATTGGCGCCATGTACGGCTACTGCTGCCAGACTGTGTTACATAAAAACTTTTCGTGTTTAATCATTATTGGCTTCCACCGGAACTGGGACGCCGTCTCCTCTTTCTGTGAAGCAGTTATGCTCGCAAAGAGGGAGGCGGCCCGCGTGAGGGAGCAGTCCTCCTCCACACGCCCCAGCAGCCGCAACTGGCGACACTACGGGCGTTGGGGATCAACGGACGATCTCCGGCCACCATAAGTGCGGGTCTGCGGTCGGCGAGTAAGGGCAGCTCGCCGCCTGACCAGAACCAGACCCAAGCGTACGGTGCGTAGCGTTCCGCGCGCGCCTCAAAGAGCCAATGGACCACCACAAATGGGGCCCTATAGGGCTTTTGTTCAGCCGGGGTTGCGGGGTAAGAGCCATGAGGCACCGCGACCTCGGCCCAGAGCAGGAGAAGGAACGGGGAGGTTTTTAGTCAGTAAGAGTCTGACACTCACTCTCGCGTAACCCTGGGTGGGAGAAGGCGTCTGATGATTTTCCCCTCACAAAAAAAAACCCAGAGTGGCAGAAATTAATAATAAGAAGGACTTCCCTACCCTACCCTTTCTCAAAAAATACAAGGTCATTTAAATACCTCACAGTTGAAGCGGTGTACCGGAGGCTCAATCCTTCCCCTCCCCCGATCCCTCCCCAATCCCTTGTTCTCCAAAACACTAATCCCTAAGAGATCGGCAACGCACTAGTAACTCCTCCTTTGCGGGTGTCCATGGGCGGCGCTGATTGCTTACCATCAGGTAATCCGTCTCCTCGTTTGCCGGTATATTACATAAAAAAAATATTAAAATACATAGATCACATGTATAAGTTACAAAAACGGGTCAGATGTCAAGGTTAAAAAAATAGTCTAAATAATAAACAATCGCATTAGCCAACTTAATCTAGGCAACAATAAATTAAGGTCTTAGTTTCCGATTCATATTTTTAGTAATTTGATTTGAATTGTTTTTATTTAATTTTGTGTTTTTGCGGTTCATGTTATTTATTTGTATCCTTAACATGTTTCACATTATTAATTATGTTGATATTTTTATTTAAATTTTAATGTATTAGTATAAGTTCGTCAATTTTGTTCCTATTGTAATTTTCCTTAGTTTAATGTTAATTTTTACATACGGTAAGTGATGTGTACATCTGTTAAAGATACAAGAACTCTGTCTCAGTCATAAAATTAAGAAAATGTATTTTATGCATTTGTTACTTAGCTACTCTCACGCGGTTTCACCCGCTGCTCAAATCGTAGCGTGATGTTTAATAGCCTATAGCACTCAGAAACTTTGTAGCTATCAATCAGTGAAAGAATTTTGGCAATCCGACCAGCAGTTCCAAAGATTACTCCCTACATACAAACTTACAAATTTTACCTCTTTATAATATTAGTATAGATGTGTCTTGTTAAATAAATAATATAAAATTAAAATAAGACAACAAAACAACATTAAAAATCTGATTTTAAATTCAGGTACCATCGACCGTAACACATAAATAATAAGTACTATCAATAAATATTACCTTAGAACCACCAGCAGCCTCATATCACCTGTTTCTATCACTATACAAGATTTACCAATACATTTACAGTTTATATAATTCAATTCAGATAATTTATCTGAAGGGAACGATCCACTTGAGCTATCAGTTGTATACATATGTAGCGGCGCACGTGGACTTGTCAAGTGAGATGATTATTATCTTGTAGTTGTTTGAGTATAAGTACCTATTTATGTAAAGTTTTATGTTAAACTGGATAGCTAGGTATATTTTCATATTTTCCTTATAGGGTCGGTATTAATCGCTACTAGAGTTACTGTGTAGGTATGAATGTAAAGTCAGTTTATGTAAATCATTTTAATAACAGAATGTTTAATAACACTAGCTACCTATGCTCTCTACTTCGTCTGCAGACCTTAATAAATAGTCTCACAGGACCAGTAGACCACTACAGACGGGGCCCTATAGGGCTGATGTTCAGTCGGGGTTACGGGGAAAGCGCAATGAGGCACCGCGACCTCGGCCCAGAGCAGAAGAAGGAACAGGGGGGTTTTTAGTCAGTAAGAGTCTGACACTCTCTTTCGCCTTACCCTGGGCGGGAGAAGTCATTTGATGATTTTCCCCTCACAATAAAAAGACCTTTATAAATAAAAAATATCTGACTTTTATAAATATAATGTCGTGGTGGCCCGGAGGTTAAGCAGCCCGTTTCTCATGCATGAGGGTGTGGGTTCGAAACCTGACAAGTACCAATGTGACTTTTTCCGAGTTATATGTACTTTATATGATTATTTAGACACCGCTGACATACGGTGAAGGTAAACATCGTGAGGAAACCTGGACTTATAATTTCTAATTATAAGTTTGAAATCGCCAACCCGCATTGAGCAAGCGTGGTGATTAATGCTTTAACCTTCTCAGTATGAGAAGAGGCCTTTGCTCAGCAGTGGGCATTTATAGGCTGATGATGATGAACCTCACTCAAACGGCGAGACACAACGCTGTTGTTGTTTGACGCTGGTTTTCAATAACGCCGTGGTATCACTCCGGACCCATTCGTGCCAAGGTTCTTCCACATTTGTACTTTGTAACTCTATAGAAAAATAAACAGATTAAAGTAGGTACTTCAATTGAAAAAGCAGCAAAGATTATAAATATCAAACGATGACATTCCATGACAGATGCAAGTGCAGTTATCTTGGACTTTGTGATACACGGATAGATGCACTGAAAGTAACATAATGTGTCGCGTACTGCATCTATCCTAAAATATTTCTATAACTGTCCCACACTAGGATTTTCTCCTGTGTCGTGAGTCCGTTTATAAACATTCAATTTCACATACACATCACACCCAGACCCGGAACAACAATTTGATGAACATGAATGATTTTATGTACAGTCTATTTATACATAAAATAATAGACAAATTATTATAGTTACATAAATAAAATCACTGCATAGTATAAAACAAAATTATTTTACACTGTCCGTCCCTATGTATGCTTATATCTTTAAAACTACGTGTCAGACTTTTATGCAGTTTCTTTAAATAGATAAAATTATTCAAGAATAATGTGCTAATTTTTTATTTCATCATCATCATCATCATCAGCCTATAAATGCCCACTGCTGAGCAAAGGCCTCTTCTCATACCGAGAAGGTTAGAGCATAAATCATCACGCTTGCTCAATGCGGGTTGGCGATTTTAAACTTATAATTAGAAATTATAAGTCCAGGTTTCCTCACGACGTTTACCTTCACCGTATGTCAGTGGTGTCTAAGTAATCATAGAAAGTACATATAACTCGGAACATGCATGAGAAGCGGGCTGCTTAACCTCCGGGCCACCACGACGTTGTGAGGTTACTAGAGGCATAATCATTCCCCTCCCCCCATCCCTCCAATTCTTGAATCTCCAAAACCCGTTATCACCGTAAGCTCCTCTGGTGTTCCGGGTGTCCATTGGCGGCGCCGATTGCTTACCATCAGGTAATACGGCAACTCGTTCGGATAACATAAAAAACATAGTTGTTGATTATTATATACCTATATAGAAAATATTTTCCTCTTAGCTATTATGTAAGAATGAAAAGACGTGTAACATCGATATCGTCGGATTTACTGATAGCTCTATTTCTAGGCTAGGTAAAGTACGTATTACATAAGGGTCAATATTTCATTATGAATCGACGGACGTCTGATCTTAAAACATCATGTTAGATCCTTTCTTGTGTGCAGTCTCTTTTCTGTCTTTAAGGCTTCAGTAATTCTTTATTTATTTATTTATATAAGCTTTATTGTACACAATGAAATGAAGTTGGTACAAAAGGCGGACTTAATGCCTTAAGGCATTCTCTACCAGTCAACCTTTGGGTCAAGTGGAAAATCTGCGAAAAATAGGTACGGGAAATATGTTTATACGAAATGACTATGGTTAAAAAATAAAATATTAAAAAAACTAATATAAAATATAAAATAAAATATTAAAATTCTGTCTCTTGCATTAAACTCACTGAGGGTAGTGGAGAGATGTCGTTTTCCTCTCTTCTAATAATATATTCTGATTTACTTCGTTGGCGGATCCAAAACTGTTTTTTTTATGGTATAAGAGCAAACGAGCAGACGGATTACCTGATGGTAAGCAATCGGCACCACCCATACACAACCGCAACACCAAAGGAGTTACGAGTGCGTTGCCGGCCTTTTGGGGACAGGGGTGGCGGATATAAGGATCGGGAACGGATAGGGGAAGGGGCGGGATTGAGCCACCGGTAACCTCACTCACACGGCGAAACACAACGCTGTGGTTGTTTCACGCCGGTATTCTGTATGGCCGTGGTATTACTTCGGTCGAGCCGACCCATTCGTGCCGAAGCTTGACTCTGTCTTTCAAGTCTTTGGGACTTGGTGATTTATCAAAGCCAAAACCAGGTACATTTGCAACATCAAAATAGATGATAAGTCCGTCAGTCTGTTCATCAGTAAAGCTAGGTGTTATTACTATCTGCTGTAGACCCTGCCTCACAGGAATTGCAGTCGTTTTGGAAGATTGCGACGAGTGTGAAAGACACTTATTTAGATGCCTTTAACTTAAAACCTTGTAGGTATCTATGAATGTACGTCTTTTTTTACCAATGATTACCTGATGGTAAGCAATCATTTAAGTGTGGGAGAGCCATGCTTCGGCACGAATGGGTCGGCTCGACCGGAGTGATACCACCGCCTCACAGAAAACCGGTTTGAAATAAACACAGCGTTGTGTTTCGCTGTGTGAGTGAGGTTACCGGAGGCCCAATCCTTCCCCCCCCCCCAATCCCTACTCAGTCCCTAAATCTCCAAATCCCTAATCCCTAAAAGGTCGGCAACGCATTCGTAGCTCCTCCGTTGCGAGTGTCCATGGGCGGCGCTGATTGCTTACCATCAGGTAATCCGTCTGCTCGTTTGCCGACATATTACATAAAAAAAAAAATCAGCGTCGCCCAACTCGTAATACCAAAGAAGTTGTCTTGTGGTGTTTCAGGGATAGGGGATTTGAGGAACCAGGATAAGGGGAAGGATATGTACCTACGTCTGAATTACATCATACCAAAAGCCTTTTCCAATGACGATCAAATGTTTACATACGGAACCACAACTAAAATACCAATAGAAATGTAAACACAAATCTTCAAAGATAACATTATTTTGATAAGTTAATGTTGACATGTTTACCAAAAACAAAACGTTTCGTCTTAAGTAGGCTTAGGTACAAATTATTGATGTCACTAATCAATTTGAGAATTGGTGTTTATTTGGTCTTACTAATCAATTTATTATAAATATTTAAATATAGTATGTATTGGTTAAATAAGAGTTTTTTTAAAGGGTAAGCAATCAGTGCCGCCCATGGAGACCCGCAACAACGGAGGAGTTATAAGTGCGTTGCCAACTCGGGGGAGAGGACTAGAAACACAACGCTGTGGTTGTTTCACTCCAGTTTTCTGTGAGGCCCTGATATCAGTTCAGTCGCACCGACCATTCGTGCTGAAGCATGGCTCTTCCACACTTAAATCTGATCTTCTTGATGCTACTGATGATGATGTAAAACAGACGTGGGTGCAAATCCCTTCCCCACCCACAATCCTCACATCTCTAGTCCTTAAATCCCTAAAAATGCTGGCAACGCACTTGTAGTAACTCAGGGCTTTAACAGGGCTAAAATAATCGAAATGGTTCCACATCATTTTTGGAAAGACTTATGATAGGCTGTTACTCATACTTGCTTGGGAGAGCTTTGCTTCAGCATAATGAAAGATACTTGGCTTGGATTTACTTGGCACCGACTTCAAGATTATAAAAATAGTTATTAATATTATTTTTTATTTACTTAAATGAAAAACATAATTATGGCTTTTTAGTTTTAGAACTTTTTGAAGTCGTTTTGTTTTTGTTAAGAATTATTTTATTTCACCATTTTAAGTGATGAAAAATATCCAGACGAATTGAGAACCTCCTCCTTTTTTTGAAGTCGGTTAAAAAAGATATTACAGCAACATGGATACTATATCATCATTTCACATGTTCTATGTTATGTTAGTGTGAATTATGTGCTTAGAAACTAACGTCATCGAATCAGTCAAATTTGACGCAAAATTCACACGTGTATTGATAAATATTTCAAAGGTCAATCCATCGTGTTTATTTTGACAGGAATCCATTAATCCATAGGAGGTAGATTGTGTAATCTTATTAAACATGGATATATAGGTACCTATGTATTATTTGTATTATTTTTAAAACATTTTCCTCACACGTGTGGGAGAGCCATGCTTCGGCACGAATGGGTCGGCTCGACCGGAGTGATACCACGGCCTCACAGAAAACCGGCGTGAAATAACCACAGCGTTGTTTTTCGCCATGTGAGTGAGGTTACCGGAGGCCCAATCCCTCCCCTCCCCCAATCCCTAAATCTCCAAATCCCTAATCCCTAAAAGGTCGGCAACGCACTCGTAACTTCTCCGTTGCGAGTGTCCATGGGCGGCGCTGATTGCTTACCATCAGGTAATCCGTGCGCTCAAAATAAAAAAAAACACTCTTAAGATTTTCTCCTGTTTTCTGCGTGCGTTTACAAACATACAACTTCACAAACAATCATCCCCACACACCTTGACCTTTGTTTGTAATAAAGCACCATATTTAATTATAATGATAGCAAAAATATTTAAGTTATTTATAGAATAAAGAAATCTGAAGTATTTAAAAATTGATTGTCAACGTATCCAGTTAAGAATGTCTGAGACCGAGGGTTCTCAATTACGAGGGTATTCGATTTTATGTTTGTGACTTTATCAAAAACTAGCTTCTCCCGCGCGGATTCACTTGCTGCTCAGCTCCATTCGATTTTAGCGTTATGTTTTATGGCCTATGGTACTCGGGAACATTGTAGCTATTTATCAGTGAAAGAATTGTGGAAATCCGACCAGTGGTTCCAAAGATTACCCCCTACATACAAACTTACAAATTTTACCTCTTTATAATATTAGCATAGAAGTATAGATAGAAATACATATTTTATTTTCATTATTTCCAGAGACTTTCCAAGAAAGCTCATCACTTGAGTTTTAGGACAATTTGAATATGATAATATATCTTCAAGGATTTTTCTTGGTCTACTAACAGACTGATCACCTGATGATGAGGTAAACAATAGCCACCGCCCATGGACGCCCGCAATACTAGAGAAGTTGTAAGCTTTATGGCGGGTTTTGGGGATGCAAGAATTGCGGAGGGATGGGGGAGAAGAAAGATTGGACCGCGCAAGATAACGTTGTGGTTATTTCACACCGGTTTTTCATGAGGCCGTGGTATGACTTCATTCGAGTCTACCCATTCGTGCCGAAGTATGGCTCTTCCACATTAAAATGTATTGGGCTAACCTAATCGTTATCTGATTTCGACCGATAGCAAAGGTACAGAGTTTCCTCCAGGATTTGTCCACCAGTATCCATAAGGTAAAAAAGTGTAGTCTTCAACGTTTCGAAGATACAGCACGTGGGTACGCGAGGAAGAACACATCTGACGGATGTCCCATTTAGGTCTCCGAGAAAAATACCGAATGGGTTTCAGTCTCAATATGGTGATTGATAGCCTGCATTGAGCACTTTGAGGACGGGGACTTATTTTTTATATGATAGCTTAGCAAACGAGCATACAAATTACCTGATGGTAAGCAATTAGCGTATAATAAAAAATAGCGTAATAACCTTGGACATCCGCAACATCACAGGAGTTACGAGTTCGTTGCCGACCTTTCGGGGATTAAGGATTTGGAGAGGGATTGGGGGAGTGGAAAGATTGGGCCTCTGGTAGCCTCACTTACACGGCGAATCAGAACGCTGTGGTTGTTTCACGCTGTTTTTCTGTAAGACCGTGGTACCACTCCGGACGAGCCGACCCACTCAGCTGCACGGCCGCTTGATGATACTTTTTTAAGGGACTTTCAAAAAGGAGGGAGACTTAATTCGACCGTACGTATGCTTTTTTTTCTCCATAAGTGGTCATGACATGGATGCCTATAATGTAGTGTCACCTCATTTGTACCACCCACAAGCTACGTGTGGGGATGACGACATCTTTTAAGGGGCGCTTTTTATGACTAAAGGTGAGGTAAGGGTATCAAGCTCTGAAGTAGAATGTTTTTAAACCATACAGGTAATAAAATAACTAAACAACATTTACAATACAATTAATTTTATTACAGTCAAAAATATATAAAGCAGTCACAGTCAGCTAATTTGTTTCAATTAGTTTCATTTATTCAATGGCCCTCATCGATAGTCATGGTCATGCTCTCTGGTTCGTATTCATAGTCCACGGCGCGATGTTTGATGATGTGCTTGTATACGAAGGCTGACTTCCTGGGGGTGCGCGTGCGACCAGGGTCCGAGAAGTCGACCTCGTAGAGACCAAACCGCTCGCTGTTGGAGACAAATTGAAAATATAAATTCTTAACAATATTGACAACAGTTTAACCCAAAATAAAGAACTACCTGTTGTTATACCACACACAAATATTGCTATATTATAAAATCGTACAAATTTAGGTACTCCGAAAACTATATTTTTTATGAGGGGCGAAAGAAAATGTCTTCTCCCGTGCTTAGTAGGGTGAGTCGGGGTACTTCTTACTGACTAAAAACCCTTCGAACTCACGCTCTGAGTCTGACCGTTGTTTGTCATTTGAACTTGGCCCAGGTCGGGATAGGGGACAGTTCTATTCCGCTATCACAAATGAATAAGAAGCCCTAGAAGAACCTGGAACTTCTCTCGCTGAGGTTTTGCGAGAGGGAGTTCCAGGCTCTTACTGACTATAAACCACCATGTTTCCTTCTGCTCTAAGCTGGTGCCGTGGTATATCGTTGTGCTAGCACCTACAACCCCAGTGATCTAAGGCCCAGATTTAGCAGGCGTCTTAGGAGATTCAGTTACCAATATTTCGACAGATTTTATCATCATTAACGATTCATGCGAGCTCTCTGCTGGACAATGGGTCCTATACAGATAAGGCATTCGCCATAACTTAATCGCATCGCGGACGGTTTAAAGGTTACAGTTTATAATTTGCTGCCTAATTTCTGTTAAACATATAACCCCTTCTTTCTTGTGATTGCCACAGGAAAACAAGGAGTGGTGACAAAGAAAATCATCTATAATCTCCAAACGCTGGCAGACGGTTGAAATACTTACATATAGCCCTCCATCCATTCAAAGTTGTCCATCAGACTCCAAGCCATGTACCCCTTAAGTTTGATGCCATCGTCTAAGCAGTTGAGGAGACTCTCCATCGAGGCTCTGTAGTACCGGATCCTGTCGTCATCAATGAGACTGTTCTCTTCACTCTCATCAGTAGACCAGCCATTCTCTGTGATGTAGAATTCCGGCTTGTTGTACAAGGAGTTCAGGTGAGTCAGAGCTGTGTGAATGCTGTTTGGTGCTAGCTGAAAGGTAATAAAATGGTTAAGAAATCGTAAGAAGATTATCGAGAAGAAGAGAAAACGATTTGTTTAGAACTGAATCTGAATCCATTCTTGATGGGTAAGTGAACATGCTACTTCGAAAAGAAAATCGGTTTTCAATCTGAAATCGAAATTGAGTCTCAGAGTCAAATCGAAGTTTCTTTGCGTATTTTAATTTCTTACAATACAGTTGTGCTTATAGTAATCTTTCAACTAAATTAATCTGAAATACTTACTGTCAGCCAAGGAGATGCAGATTTGAGCCAGTCATCATCAGGGAATGAACCAGTATCCACATCATCCAGCAAAGACGGTACAGGGTAATGACCCTTGCGTTCAGTCGCGGATACCAGATACGCCGTGTAATGGTTCACACCAAAGAAATCTGAAGCTCCTCTAACGAAAGCCTTCTCTTCCTCAGTGAACATTGGCAAACGGGACCTAGGGTAGCCTTGTTGAGCACTCTTCACGGCGATTTTGTCTGAAAGCTCTTTGGGGAAACCTCCTTCAGCTGAGAAGATGGGATGAGCGTAGATTCCCCACTGTTAGCGAAAACAAATGTTAAATTTATAGAACTTAGTACAAGAAGAGTGATTTAAAATAGGTAAAAACTCACCTCGCCTTGTCTCCTAAGTTCAGCAGCCATCTCATCTTCAGGAGTTGGTGTGGCTGGTCCAAACCAGTTCACACTGATTGCAATTCCGCACTGGCCTCCCTGCACAGGTCTGAATTCCTTGTCATACAAGTGATAAGCCTTAGCGTGAGCAATAACCAAATTCTTGGCACACAAGTAAGCTCCCATGGCGGTGGAGTTCAGGATCGGAGCCTTGGTAGCCGCTCCATAACCTTCAAAGCAGATCTCTCTAGGTTCGTTGAAAGTCATGAACATCTTGACTCTGTCACCGAAGTTCTCGAATACAACTCTTGCGTAATCTTCAAACCAGTCGCTGATGAGGGGATTGGCAAAACCGCCCAACTCCTGCAGCTTTTGAGGAAGGTCCCAATGGTAGAGAGTGATCAGAGGAGTAATGTTGTACTTCAACATTTCATCAATGTAGTTGTTGTAGAAGGCGATGCCAGCGGGGTTGACCTCATTGGCCATGCCTGTAGGGAGGATCCGAGACCAAGAGAGGGAGAACCTGTAAGCATCCAGGCCTAACTCCCTCATCATCTCAACATCACGCTTGTAGTTGTGGTAGGAGTCAGCAGCGACGTCACCATTGGATTGATCTCTGATGACTTCAGGGGTATTGTGGACCATGTAATCCCAAATATTTTCACCCTTACCTGCAAAGACATTTGATATGGGAAAGGCTGATCGCGTACAATAATGACAATAACTTATTCAGATAGTAACTTACCATCTTCATTCCAGGCACCCTCAATCTGGTAAGCAGCAGTAGCGGTTCCAAAGAGGAAATCATCAGGGAACCGACGCTGATGCCTCACGATAGAGGCATTGCAGACTACTGCCACCAAACTGTAACAAAAATAGTCACAAAATCAGTCAAACACGATCAAGAGTATATTGAAGAAAACCCTATTCGTGATATCAAATGTACCTTAGGACCAACAGCAGCTTCATTTTAGCGATAAAGCCGACTGAGTAACTTTACTAACAGTTGAACAATTTATATAAAGTATGCTCTGTTTATATCTCGAGTACTTTATCTTAAATCTCTAAGATGCTGGACCACTTCACGTGTCGTCTCATCTATATTATCTTCGCTACATTTGTCAGTGGAAAATAAACATGTTTTCGCATTAACTGCTGTTGTGAACAGGATAAAAATATTTTTCTATATTAGGTAAAGCCTTTCAAACCAGCGTTGGGTGAAGAGGGGAGTGTTAAGAGAAACTTTCATGGCCTGGTTAGACCCCTTAATTGCTTTTTTGTCCTTTTTCCTTGTAATTATTATGACTTATTATTTTTCGTACGACCCAGTTAGAAGTTGATTTTTATGCTCTAAGGCTCTTAAATTGTCATTTTTTTGTCAGTGGAAAATCATCAAATGGCTTCTCCCGCCCAGGATAAGGCGAGAGAGAGTGTCAGGCTCTTACTGACTAAAAATACCCCCATTCCTTGTCCTATTTTAGGTCGAGTGCCACACTGCGCTTACCCCGCAACCCCGGCTGTAGGGTCCCGTCTGTGGTGGTCTATTGGCTCTTTGAGGCACGCGCGGAACGTTATGTGCCCTACGCTCGGGTCTTGTTCTGGTCGGGCGGCAAGCTACCTTTTTACTAGCCGTCCGCAGACCCGCGTGAGGAGGATAGTTCCCAGAAAGAGGAGACGGCTCTCTAGTAAAAAAATCACTTGAGAATCGTTGTGTTTCTGAATCTTTTATATTGCTGTTGGTAGCCTAATATATAAATAAATCAAACAAATATATTATCTATTTGAGTTTAATATAACAAAATCTATCAATAACATACCTAATATTAGCAGGTTCATCGATAAGATTAGGTATAGGCAACTTGTTTTTAGAATCGCTAGCGGAAAGTATCTTTGGTTTACCTTTTTCCCAAAACAAGTAAGTACCTACTCGTGTAATCAAACGAGGATTGGTAGTAACCAGATTAGGTTAAATGTCACTAGCAAGCGATTTCAATGGCAATGGACACTCCAGGAGTGCGTTGCCAGCCATTTGAGAGTAGAAGAGTGGGCTTATACGGTGATCACACGGCGAAACACAACGGAGTGGTTATTTCATTCTAGTTTTCTGTGGTATCACTCCGGTCAAGTCAACCGATTCATGCCGAAACTTAGCTCTAAAACACCTGGTATTTATTTATTTAAACTTTATGCAACAAAACATTACATAGGCGGACTTAATACCGTTGGCATTCTCACCAGTCAACCTTAGGGTGATGCAGAAAGAGTATGGTAGGTGCAACAAGAAGAGAACTTTGAGACGATAAATTAAGATTTAAAAATACAACAAAAACACTACAATAAATAAATATTTATGTATATATAGAATAATATAATTATACTGGTAAATGGTGGTATGGTTAATAATATAAATACTCAATACATACTCTATATTCTTACATAAATAGAAGTATAAATATACATTTATAGATATATATAAATATATATATGAATAATATTATACACAGTAAATACATAAACATAAGGGTTTTATGATGATGGTTCTAATAACAGTCCATTCAAAATGTGCTTACGCAATTCAGCCTTAAACGATTGCTTACTGGTAGCCTTCCTGACTTCCAAGGGCAACCCATTCCACAGGAGAATGGATTGAATGTAAAAGGATGAATGGATAGTATCAGAGCTATGAGAGGGACAATGAAGAAGAAGATTATGAGAAGAGCGAAGATTTTTGGAATGACCAGTGTAGCGGTAACAAAAGTAGGAGGTTAAATAAGAAGGCGAAGTTGGAGAGTTGAGAAGTGAAAAAAGAGTTGTCAAAGCGCGAAATCCTCTTCTTTGGCGAATTGGCATCCATTTCAACTCGGACCTGTACTCAGAAACATGATCGTACTTCCTCAGGTTAAAGACGACCCTTATGCAGTTATTGATGAGACGATCAAGTTTATTGAGCAAATCCGAGCCGAGATCATAGTAACACACGTCACCATAGTCGATTATAGGAAAGATTAAAGACTGCACAAGCTGGTAGTAGGGACTTTGACCTCTTTGGTATCATTCCAGTCGAGTCGACCCATTCGTGCCGAAGTTTAGCTCTAAGACACCTTGTAGTAGGTACCTACTTAGTACTTGACCTTGAATGGGAAATGATGAAATTTTTCTGATGAAATAAATAATCAGTTATTCAAACTTTATGTTTATTTGCGATGGTCGTGGTGGTCCGGAGGCTCAAGCTTCTCATGAGGGCCTGCCCTCAGGCAAAGGTTACTGTCAGGCTCTTACTGACTAACAACCAACCCGGTGTTCCTCCATTTACCCAGATAGATGCCAGATGGCGGTGGCTTTTTAGATGTCCTTTCTACGATTATTTAGACACAACTAACGTACGATATGAAACCCCATGAGGAAACCTGGACTTACAATTTCTAAAGTTTGAAATCGTCAATCCAATGAGCAAGCTTCGTGATTAATGCTCAAAACACCTTTCCGTGACAGAAGGGGCATTTGATTAGTAGTAGGCACTAATAGCCTGATGATGTATGTGTGTGTTTATTTGTCCCTCTGAAGTTCCGTAACCAACAGGAACCTTGTCACTAAGACCATTCTGGTCGTTTTTAAAAGTGTTGTTTTGTACGGGTACCACTAAAGCCAAATATTTGTTAAGTTTCAGTGTACAGTTCCCTGTACACTGAACCTGATTTTTTATAGATAATGCCTTTTTAATTCCTTATTATTACTTACGATAATAAAACTGCATAACTTACCATCGAATTATAATGCTATAGTTTTTATCACCTTTTCTGCTTACCTACCCTTGTTACATAATGCCATCTCAAATCAAGTTTTCGTCAGTTCTGCTTGGTTTACTTTACCAATAAAGTAAACAACTCTATTGTAAGAGAAATCAAGTGTTCGATAAATATTTTATCTCTGTTTCAAAGTACAGATGTATAGATCACCATGATTTGCAAAAATAATCCTCGAGCGTTTAAAAACAGCGCCATCTCTTGGACGTTGGTTGTATTAATATAAAATAATAAACTAAATTTTGAAATAATCTAACAAAAAGTTATATAAAATTAGAAGTAAACTTAATTTTGGCAAATTGGTTTCCAAAATTTATTCATTTCATTATGTTTCCTTAAATAAAATATATTTTTTTAAACATTGCATTATGTATGTAGTTGGCTCTTTTTCTCGGAACTGAGTATAGATGTCACTAGTAATATATATTTTATTGATTACTTATTTTCAATAAGGAGGACTTAATTAATTTACATATTATTTATATTATTTACAAAAAAAAAACAAATTTATTGGTCTTATCTCATTATTTAACCATTTTCTTTATTCAATGTCCCTCATCGATAGTCATGGTCATGCTCTCTGGCTCGTATTCATAGTCCACGGTGCGATGTTTGATGATGTGCTTGTACACGAACGCCGACTTCTTAGGGGTGCGTGTGCGCATAGGGTGTGAGAAGTTCACTTGGTAAAGACCGTAGCGTTCACTGAAAGAAAAATGCCACAAGTTAGAAATGACAGAGAGGTTTATTCTGAATTACATTTAGAAAATGATTATCTATATTATTTTTATTGCTAGGGATTAATAACATTGTTTTTTTAGTGTATTCCAATTTCCAAATGACTTTTAAGTTCACTAAGTATATTCCGCATAAAAAACCTTTTACTTTCATTTTGGTCAAACAATTTTCACAAAATGTCTCAGTTGTTCTGTTGGTAGGTATAGCTACCAAAAAGAACCCTCGACTAACAGCTGTTAATATGTAAAAATAGTCTCATCAAGTTAATCTTACGTGTAACCCTGCAACCACTCAAAGTTATCCATCAGACTCCAAGCCATATACCCCTTGACATTTACTCCAGCGTCCAGGGCATCCAGAACATTCTCCAACGCAGCTCTGAAGTATTGGATTCGGTCATCATCTATGAGTCTACTTCGAGGTTTAGTGCACCAGCCATTCTCTGTTACATAGATGACTGGGTTGTTGAATCTAGCTTTCAAATGTAGCATGACGTTGTAAAGACTGTTTGGTGCCATCTGTAAAGGAAAGTTATTCTTAAATGGGGTTTGAGGGGGAAAATCTTTCAATTACTTCTCCCATCCTGGGTGAGGCAACAGGGAGTGTCAGACTATCTCATCATCAGCCTGATTCTATCCACTGCTGGATATAGGCCTCTGAGCTTGATGTTCAGCTCTTCCCATCCAACCACTGCCCGCCATTATTCTACTAATATTGTCAGTCCACCTAGCTGGAGGGCGCCCTACACTACGTTTGCCTAGACATGGCCTCCACTGACCCCATTCCTTCTTCTGCTCCAGTCGGAGATGTACCGTGACATTGTTTTATGCCCGCAACTTCGGAAATGCGGTTTGGCAGTTTTCTACACATAAATAAAATGATAAATAAAAATGCATTTATTTTCCACCACAAATATAGGAACATATTATGTGTGGGAGAGCCATGCTTCGGCACGAATGGGTCGGCTCGACCGGAGTGATACCACGGCCTTACAGAAATCCGGCGTGAAATAACCACAGCGTTGTGTTTCGCCGTGTGAGTGAGGTTACCGGAGGTCCAATCCTTCCACTCCCCCAATCCCTCCTCAATCCCTAATCCCTACAAGGTCGGCAACGCACTCGTTACTCCTTCGTTGCGAGTGTCTATGAGCGGCGCTGATTGCTTACCATCAGGTAATCCGTCTACTCGTTTGCCGACCTATTACATAAAAAAAAACAGCTTACACAGTATATAACAATTCAAGGGTGGTCTGGAGCCTAAACTAGGGAAACCCTGTATTTCAGTACTCCAGGTCACTCGCCTGCGGAACAAGTATTGGATAACATATTAACAAGGAGGTGGACATGGATTTGCTTTGTGTGTGCACGCGCACACGTATAAGAACGCTAACATGGGGCCGGTTTTCATCTTCAACTCTTAAATTCCAAATTCATGTACTTTTATTTCAATTGATTTTTAGACGTTAATAAACATAAAATTACTCACCGCAAGCCAAGACGCAGCAGATTTAGGCCAAGATGCATTTTTATACATTCCAACATCCATATCGTCCCATAGTGATGGCGTTGGGAATATAGGCTTATGTGTGGTAGCTGATACTAGGTGCCCAGTATAGTGATTTAATCCAAAAAAATCTGAAGTTCCTCTGACGAACGCCTTTTCTTCATCAGTAAATGCTGGAAGACGAGAGCGAGGGTAGCCCTGCCGAGAACTCTTTGCAGCAATTTTGTCAGCTAGTTCTTTTGGAAATCCTCCTTCAGCTGAGAATATGGGATCAGCATACAGAGCCCACTGAGAATAAAAAATTTGCTTTACTTCAGAGACCAACCAGAATAGATGTTTTTTTTTTGTGAGGGGAAAATCATCAAATGACTTCTCCTGCCCAGGGCCGGGCGGGAGGGAGTGTCAGACTCTTACTGACTAAAAACCCCCCTGTTCCTTCTCCTGCTCTGGGCCGAGGTCGCGGTGCCTTATTACGCTTACCCCGCAACCCCGGCTGAACCAGAATAGATGTTGTAAATGTATTTAAGCGGTGACACGAGTCACAATATTTTGAACGAGAAACGTGTGAGTATTTTAATAGTACAAGGTACGCAATGTATAACAGATTCTTTTAGCACTCGTTTTTGTAATAAGTCAATTATACTAAACGTTTTCGACTTTTCATCGGACGTGATATAGATTAACTTGGAGATGTCATATCTTAGATAAGCAGATTAAATCAACGAATTTCATACCTCTCCTTGTCTCGCTATCTCAGCAGCAAACGTATCTTCAGAAGAATTAGTCGCTGGAGCATAATCGTGAACACTGATCGTGATACCACATTGCCCATTTTGACTTGGTCTGAACTCCTTGTCATAAATGTGATAAGCAGCAGCATGCGCCATTAACAGATTCTTTGCGCACAAATATGTTCCAACATCCGTGGAATTCAAGATGGGGGCTTTAGTAGTCGATCCATAACCTTCGAGACAGATCTCCCTAGGCTCATTGAAGGTGATGAAGATCTTGACCCTGTCTCCAAAGTTCTTGAAGACAACCCTTGCGTAGTCCTCAAACCAAGTGACTATAAGGGGATTGGTGAAGCCTCCAAGCTCCTGAAGCTTTTGTGGAAGATCCCAATGGTATATGCCAACAATTGGAGTGATGTTATATTTCATGATCTCGTTGATGAGGTTGTTGTAGTAACTGATGCCAGCTGGGTTGACCTCATTGGCCATGCCTGTAGGGAGGATCCGAGACCAAGAGAGGGAGAACCTGTAGGCGTCCACGCCTAACTCTCTCAGCATTTCGACATCACGCTTGTAGTTGTGGTAGGAGTCAGCAGCGATGTTACCATTAGAAACGTCTGTGACGGCAGTAGGGTTGGTACGTGTTATGTAATCCCAGATACTTTCGCCTTTACCTGTAAAAATTTTTATAAAGATCATGACTTTTAGTCTTTTACAACAATTTTAATGTATTCCTATTTTTGTATTGACACAGTTTAGTACTACACTACTGTAGTAGTTTCAGAAGTTATTAGTTTAAGACTGTAAAAATATAAAATGTTTCCATCTGCGATCTCGTTTATATCTACCCTAGTTAGAATTCGTATGCGTAGTAATAAGTTCAGTGTCTGGTTATTGCTATTAGTTTTGACTACAGAAGAAATCCTTCTCCTGTCTGTACCTATTTTTCTTTTCATCATGGAATATTAAGCAGGCGAGATCACCTGATTGTAAGTGATCGGCACCGCCCATGGACACCTGCAACACTTTTAAAAAGAAGTAGGGTTTGTACGTTTCTTGAAGGTTTGAAGGTCGTATCGATTCGAAATGACGCCGCCAATTATTATTAACATATCTTGGGCAAAATTTTATATATAATGTTTTTTTGTTACAATTGGGTTTATGTGTTGTAGAGAAATGCAAAACTGAACCAAAAGTTTTAAGTAAAAAGAACAACGACCCACCGTCTTCATTCCATCCCCCCTCGATCTGGTAGGCAGCTGTGGAGACACCAAAAATGAAGTCATCAGGGAACCTTCTGACTGTCGAGGTTGAACTATGGCAAGTTGTTAACAGCAAACAGAATCTAGAAATATTGTAAAACAAAACGTTTAATAAATACTGCAGAAAGTAAAAAAAAATTAAAAATTTAATATCTATATAATAGGACTAAAGTATCTTATCTAACATAACTAATAAAGTTTAATAGATCGTAGAACATAATAAAAAAATCTTGTAAAGTGTCTTTGAAACATTGAAGCAAATAATTTTTATTGCATATAGGCCATAAAACGGCACTTTCACACGTCAAAATGATATGAAAAATACAAGATGAATCCGGCATTTCCTATCTGACTACTGACTGAGAAAAAATGCTGTAATAAACTAAGAAAAAAACACCTAATTGTGTCCAGTATAATTATCTTTAACTTTTTTTTATGAGATGGATCGGCAAACGAGCATACGGATTACCTGATGGTAAGCAATCAGCGCCGCCCATGGACATCAGCAACAGGAGTAACCAGTGCGTTGCCGATGTTTTGGGGTTTAGGGATTTGGAGATTTAGGGATTTGGGTGGAGGGGGGGAAGAATTGGGCCTCCGGTCACTTTACTCCCCGGCGAAACACAACACTGTGGTTGTTTCACGCCGGTTTACTGTGAGGCCGGTCGAGCCGACCCATTCGTGCCGAAGTATGGCACTCCCACACTTAAATAATCTAGTTATTTTATTAGTAAACGCCATCATACTTACAAAAATGTCACATACATCCTGTCAGAATACACAGCAAAAAACAGAATTACACAAAACCGCTTAAAATGTCGAACACACAATAAATAAACAAATTTATTACATACATAGAACAAAAGAGCGTTTATCAAAAACCGTCCCGCAGTTTAGGAGAAACGAGCACAATAACATACGGTAGAGTACGCTTTTAATAATGAGGTCAATAATTTTATCTATTGTAGTATCAGTCTAAGGCCAACAGAGAAACTTGAACTGTTAAAATTGTTATTTATATAATACATATTATAGGTATTTATAAAATCACATAATCACGCATATTTTTGTTTTTAAACTCTGACATTTTTTTTTTTAATTTTTATGCCAAACATACCTTTGTTTTACATCAGCGTCCCCTGTGAATGATTACAGGTTCAAATGTAAAATATAGTGTTCTTTTCTTTAAAAAAACGTTGTCCTTTCCTCCTCATCAACAGTACAATCAAAAAAATTGTAAAACTACCGTGAGACATACCTAATTTATCAAAAACTAGCTTTCGCCCGCGATTTTGTTCGCGTGGAATAGTTACTTCCCGCAGATTTACGGTTAAAATACTATCCTATGTCCTTTATCGAGTTTCAAACTTTGTGTCATTGATACAAATAGGTTCAGTAGTTTAGGCGTGAAGAAAAAACAGACAGTCAGAGTTACATTCGCATTTATAATATTAGCTTGGATAACGACTACTTCACGTTGAATGCGCGACGTCGCCGCGACGCGCACGCTGCTCATGAATAAGAATCCCGTTGTGAGTTGAAACTAGTCGAGCTTTTCTCAGTTTATTCCCGTGACTAAGTCTTTATTTTCAATAAAGTAACAAACAAACTTTGCAGCATTATAATAATATATTTATTATAGATTATAATAACATTAATTCAAGTACGTTTTTCGCATTACATTATAATTAAAATCCGTCATCAATAGTCATGGTTAAAGACTTCGGTTCATATTCGTAATCGATGTAGCGATTCTTGATGAGGTGCTTGTAGACAAACGCGGACTTCCTAGCGGTGCGTGTGCTAGCTGGATCTTGGTAGTCCACTTGGTACAGGCCGAAACATGCTCTGTGTAAAATAAGTAGCGATTATACATAATATGTTAAATTAGGTCCTGGTTATGTCCTGAAACTGTGACCATCCAGAGATGTCGCAGCAGCTCAGAACCCCTAAGGAGTGGAATTCTTAGCCAGAGTCTGTGTTCCTCGAAAGGATAACATAGCTTGACGACTTCAAGGCCCTAGTGAATAAGTTGCTTCTGGAGAAGTGCTACACCGTAGGTCGCATCATCGATGTATTTTGTTGCGGGATCCAAGACAGTCATTTATGTCCCGGGGACGCGCCGGACTGAAGTGTTCCGGTGTTTTCATTGTTGTATGTACTATAGATCCTGGCTTACAGGATTTGCTGCGGTTTAGCGAGATTGTAGCGGGCTTGTCCATTTTAAAAAAAAGGTTACATCATCGCTTACTTACTACCAAGCGTGATCGCGAACAAATGCCTGTCCCATTACGAAATAAAAAAAGAATGCTTCTAAACCTTTGTTTGGTTGTCTGACAGGTCTCTGTAACTTCCAAACTACCTAATAGAGTTGATTTTCCATCACCTTTCTACCATCGGACAAACCGACGTACGGCGAGTATCGCTTCGTCGTTTATACCATACACACATCTTGGATAGCTTACCTGCTACAGTCTTCCCGTCCAGTTATTTTTTAGATGTCTTCAAGGCTAGAGTGAATAGGCTCTTAATAAACTAGTGCGCCTTACCATTAACGATTGCGTCACTGCTTACCATCAGGTTTTTTTTGTGAGGGGAAAGTCATCAAATGACTTCTCCCGCCCAGGGCCGGGCGGGAGGGAGTGTCAGACTCTTACTGACTAAAAACCCCCCAGTTCCTTCTCCTGCTCTGGGCCGAGGTCGCGGTGCCTCATTGCGCTTACCTCGCAACCCCGGCTGAACATCAGCCCTTTAGGGCCCCGTCTGTGGTGGTCTATTGGCTCTTTGAAGCGCGCGCGGAACGCTACGCGCCGTACGCTCGGGCCTGGCTCCGCAGACCCGTGCTTATGGTGGCCGGAGATCGTCCCTTGATCTGAACTTGATGATTGGTGGGATTGTAGTCAAGCACTAGATTATATGATTAAAAAAAAATGTTAATATGGTAAATTGTCTTTAAATGATCGTCTTAGTACAGTAATGGATAATTTGCATTTGATTCTGATGATGTAACAATAAATAACGACACCGACACCGTTTTATTTGAAAAAGAAAATTAAGAAAGTTTCTTTAAGGTTCGACGATATTTTTTATGATACTTACACGTATCCCTCCAGCCATTCCATGTTATCCAACAAACTCCACACCATGTACCCCTTCAGGTTGACTCCAGCATCCAGAGCATTTAGGGCACTCTCCCATGCAGCTCTGTAGTATGTAATCCTGTCATCATCTATCAAGCCACTGTCAGGGTAAGTGGCCCATCCATTTTCTGTGATGTAGATCGCTGGGTTGTGGTACCTCTCCTTCAGGTGGGTTAAGGCGTGGTAGATGCTGTTAGGCGCCATCTGTGAAAAAGCAAAAATTAGGTAGTTGCCATGCCTCGTAAAACCTGTGCTGCTGTAATCGTTTTACGATCCAACGGTTCCAGTCCAAAATTTATTTGTGGCAGACATAAAAAAATATTGACTGAAGTTAAATATACTAATTGTAACTTGAACTGTAATATATTTGTTTTGTTTTTTGTGTACTTTAACCACCTACTATACTAAACAACAGCTACTTACTTTCAGCCAAGGAGAAGCTGACGCAGGATAATCCTCAGGCCAGAAGTACCCAACATCTAAATCATCCATCATAGATGGCGCTGTGAAATATGATTTGTTTTTAGTCGCTGATACTTTCATAGTTGTGTAATGATTTACGCCGAAGAAATCTGATGATCCCTTGACAAAAGCTTTTTCTTCTTCAGTGAATTCTGGCAGACGAGAGCGCGGAAATCCCTGTTGTGCACTTTTCTCTGCTACTCTTGCAGTTAACTCCTTTGGAAAACCACCTTCAGTCGAAAATATAGGCTCAGCATAGATACCCCACTGAAAATAACAAAAACTCGTTAAACACTGGATCGGGGTACTTCTAGTACAAAATTCTGCTAGTTTCTGTTTCTTTTAGTTAATTTTTGTCCCAATTTGTTCCAAACAACCTCACCTGAACTTGCCTCATAAGCTCAGCTGCGAACAAATCTTCTTCAGTGTCAGTATCTGCTTCAAACCAGTTTACGCTGATTGTAATACCACACTGTCCTCCCTGAGTTGGCTTGAACTCATTATTGTACAAATGGTAGGCCCTAGCGTGAGCCAAGACCAAGTGCTTAGCACATAAGTAAACACCGATACCAGTGGTATTCAGAAGGGGAGCCTTGTTCATATCTTCAAGACCCTCAAAGCAGATCTCTCTGGGCTCGTTGAACGTGATAAACAGCTTAACTCTGTCTCCAAAGTTCTCAAAGACAATCCTCGCGTAGTCTTCAAACCAATCAACAAACAAGGGGTTCATAAATCCCCCCAAGTCCTGCAGTTTTTGGGGAAGATCCCAATGGTAGAGGGTGACCATTGGGGTGATGTTGTATTTCACCATCTCATTGATAAGGTTATTATAGTAAGCAACGCCAGCTGGGTTGACCTCATTGGCCATGCCTGTAGGGAGGATCCGAGACCAAGAGAGGGAGAACCTGTAAGCGTCCAGGCCTAACTCCCTCATCATCTCGACATCACGCTTGTAGTTGTGGTAGGAGTCAGCAGTGACGTCACCGGTGGTTAAGTCTTGTACAATTGTAGAGTTGGTATGGACTAACCTGTCCCAGATGCTTTCACCCTTTCCTAAAATGATGCAAAGAATTCATTAATTGCGTTTTTTTCTTTATTAGCGTAAGAAATATAATGAAAGATCAGAAATTGGATTGCTAGCAAGCTTACCATCTGCATCCCATCCTCCCTCGATCTGGTATGCGGCAGTTGCAGCTCCGAAGAGAAAGTCATCAGGGAACCGACGCTGCTTCACGGTCGAGCCGTGGCAGGCTACCATCAACAAACTGGGAAAAAAAACTGAATCAGACAGAATATTTCGCAGGTTTTGTCCTCACACTGTCTCATGAAGCTGTTTTATATTTTAATGATTTTTCACTGTCTTGAAGATATTGTTTATAGTCAGTAAATGGTCATGCAGAGAACTTGTACACATAAGAGTTTAATGTAATTATGTCAATTTAATTAAATGACTACATTCTTATGTTATTAATCTGAACCATTTGACAAAGGGCGGATACGAGAAAAATTATGATCATTTTATCTTCTATATTTGAAATGAATTCCAAAAATGTGGTGGTAAGCGCGTAACTCAACTACACATGGACCAATTTTGCTCATTCTTTTTCATAGTGTCAGTAGATAGTTTTTACTAAAGAAAATATTAGAAAAATACAGGGGAGAATTGAGAAAAAAGTCCTAACCTAAACCCTTTCGTTATTAGCTCATTAGCTGGACCCCTGCGAAGCGAGGGCCGGTCGCTAGTATGGATTAAAATTGTACGCACCAAAAGACAACAGATTTCATATCGATGGCACTGTGCTAGTTGAATGGTGGTTATATCCAGTGCAAGCAGTATTATGTTTATATACAGACATAGATACATATCAAGATGTACTGAAGAGGACATCTTTTTTATCTCCCATGCACACGAAGCACTTCAACTAACAAGAATGTGATGTATGATAGTGAATCTGCGACAACATGACTTTGCGGATTGACTATAATTATCTTGGACTTCCGTGATACTGAATCTGTTTTCCCAATAAACACAATTACAATTAATATTATATTCTTAGTATGAATAATTAGAAAATTGGTTCAATCTCTAACAAAAACGTATTACTTATTGGCTGGTGTCTTCAACATTGATATTTTCAAAATAGTTAAACCAATATTTGATTTGATTCCAGTAAGCTTACCATGACGTGTTGAAGCGTGAATCTTTCGGGCGAGAAAGAGGGACGGAGCTATACACCTTTTATAGCTCCATCCCTACCTACAGAAGCCCTACAGAAGATCCTTAAGCTAGACCAGAGTGCAAGGAATTGGTGACTAAGCACATGCGACAGTTCGACATTGGGGCACAGCAAACACCCTGTGCTTTTTACCTCGGCAGAAGTTATTTGGGATATAAAGCTTCAACAGTTGGCGCCACAAAGGGTCTTACAGGCCACCACGAATTGGATTCGTGTGTACTTTACCACTGGTGAATTGTGTCGAAGGCAACCGAATAATAATTTTGTCGGAAAGAGGAAAGGATTGAGCTTTCTTTTAAACCGACTTCAAAAAAAGGAGGAGGTTCTGTATGTTTTAATTTAATTTCTTTGTAAGGGGAGAATTATCAAATGATTTCTCTCGCCCAGGGAGGGAATGTCAAACTCTTACTGACTAAAAATCCCCCTGTTCCTTCTGCTTCTGCGCTCACCCCACAACCCCAGCTGATGAGGAAAAGATTTTACACTCTCTAATAATGTTTTACTGCAGGTTTGGCGTAGTGGCTGGGCAACAGGCTGCTGTACAACGTGTCGCGTGTTCGATTCCCGCATGGAACAACACTTTGTGTAATCCACAAATTGTTGTCCAGATAAAAAGAGAAAACACTAGTGTAAGTCAACATTTCTATAAAAAAAAAGTTGCTTAGGTACTTTCGCAAACGCACATACAAACTGAAAAACTTCTTTTTTTAAGTTTATGTAAAAATAATGGCACTTCCCAAGTGGTTGTCAAGGTATCTTAGATTCGCGTCTATCAATCTGTTTTGTACCTACATCGAATTCTTTTTTTATCACTGAAGATATTATTATTTTTGTGATATCTGGAATAAACATTGCCCCTAGTTTTTGTATTACGTAAGTGAGAGTGTCGTGTCAAAAATCTTTTCGTGTCATGCTACGTAATCAACTTCTGAAAATTATCAGCGGAGTCTACACAACACCGTGTGACATCTCTAGTTTTTATTACTCGTTATTCTCTGGTTGGAGATTGCAGTTTTCTTCATAGGTTCATGTTTTAACGCTTTCCGGCTGGTCTGCGTGGATGTAATTTTTTGAGAATTGGGAGGAATCTCTAAATTTTATCTGTCGTGGTGGCCCGGTAGTAGCTAATTTCATTCAGCATGATGGTGCTGGTGCAAAACCTGGCAAGTACGTACCAATGTGACTTTTTCCGAGTTATATGTACCTACTCTTTCTATGATTGTTTAGGCACCACTGACATAAGGTGAAGGAAAACATCGTGAGGAAACCTGGACTTATAATTTATTATGCGTAGTGATTAATGCTCGAACCTTCTCCGTGTGAGAGCTGGCCTTTGCCCAGCAGTGGTACTTATAGGCTGTTGATGTGACTCTTTTAATAACTCCTTCAGCCCTGGGTGTGTGTTCCTTCTTTCAACTCTTCTTAGGGGTCATCCATGTTCCATTGTTCGTTTCGGTCTGGGCCCGTCTGGCTCAGAACCGTACAAATTATGCGCAACCGATCCTGTAACATCTTTAAAACGATGACCGTATGCAATATGCAATTTTGGTGCTATTTTAACCTGAATATACGATAGCATGTCGATAGAAGCAGCATGCTATAGTGGCCCGGTCGTTAAGGTGCCTGCTTCTCGCGTTTGAAATCTAGCTAGTACTAAATGTGACTTTTGCTGTGTTGCAGTTTCAAAGTTTATAGACACCACTTACAGCAGTAACGAAAACCTGAACTTATAATTTCTAATTTTAAATTTGAAACCACCAATTTTCCTTAAGCAAGCTTGATGCTTCTTATGTTACCTTCTCGTAGTGAGAGAGAGAGAGAGAGACGAAGAGAGGAGAGCCTTTGCTCAGCAGTAGACAATAACCTGACGATGTGATATGAAGCGTAGTGTTAAATGCTTAAACTTCCTTCGTGTGAGAAGAGGCCTTTGCTAAGTAGGCAGCACTTACAAGTCAATGATGTGTGCTCAGCCTATAAGCATGAAGCAAGTGATAACATTCGAATTTTGACACATGGCCTTTATCTAGGTAAGTTTATTATTCAAAGAGGATATAGGGGAATTACTATTAGGTACACATCGCCTCGTCTTTGACATCTGAAGTGGTGATAATATGAGATAAAATATGTTGAAAGCCAGCAAGGGTTGGTATGACTCAGTTCATCAGTGTGCAATGAACCTGCTTCTCATACGGATCAGCATGAAGTCTTTGGTCTTATGGTATGTGGCATTACGTTCTGTGACGTTAAATTCTAATTGTTAAACCTATGAAATGATGTTATTTTAATTCTCGTAGTTTGTTGGTGGTAGCTTGCCACGGCTCGACTGTGAGGCAGCAGCGTCGGTTCCCCAATGACTTCATCTTTGGAGCCGCTACAGCCTCCTACCAGATCGAGGGAGGATGGGACGCGGATGGTAAGTTTCTGATCAACTTCAATTTTAATGGTTTGGTTAAAAAACTATCCTATGTCATTTCTGGAGTTCCAAACTATGTCTGTACTTACCAAATTTCAAACAAATAGGTGCAGCAGTGTGATTCTGTAAGACTTCATTCTAAACTTCGAATCTGAATCCGCTGTGAGTGGTAGTAGCTAGCGCTACACTTGCGAGTTAAACTAAATTGACAGCAACATTTTGATAGATAAAGTATGAGATGAAGTTAAAAGTGGCATTCTAAAATTTAATTTCCCCGTCACTTCGACGCTCACTTCGTACTCAAACACAAACAAATTTTATAGAATCGACGTGCAGTAGTCTCAGTAGGCGTAAAGAAAAGACAGACAGAGTTATTTTTGCATTTGTAATATTAGTTTGGATAACTAGGTGGCCTTTTTTTAATTACAGGCAAGGGTGAAAGTATCTGGGATAGGTTAGTCCATACCAACCCAACAGTCATACAAGACTTAACCAACGGTGACGTCGCTGCTGACTCCTACCACAACTACAAGCGCGATGTTGAGATGATGAGGGAGTTAGGTCTGGATGCTTACAGGTTCTCCCTCTCTTGGCCTCGGATCCTCCCTACAGGAATGGCCAATGAGGTCAACCCAGCTGGTTTAGCTTACTATAATAACCTTATAGACGAAATGTTGAAATACAACATCACCCCAATGGTCACCCTCTACCACTGGGATCTTCCCCAAAAACTGCAGGACTTGGGGGGATTTATGAACCCCTTGTTTGTTGATTGGTATGAAGACTATGCGAGGATTGTCTTCGAGAACTTTGGAGATAGAGTTAAGCTGTTCATCACGTTCAACGAGCCTAGAGAGATCTGCTTTGAGGGTCTTGAAGATATGAACAAGGCTCCCCTTCTGAATACCACCGGTATCGGAGTTTACTTGTGTGCTAAGCACTTGGTTTTAGCAAACGCTAGAGCCTATCACTTATATAACAATGATTTCAAGCCAACTCAGGGCGGACAGTGTGGTATTACAATCAGCGTGAACTGGTTTGAAGCAGATACTGACTCTGTTGAAGATTTGGCGGCTGCTGAGCTTATGAGGCAAGCTCAGGTAAGAAATGAATTAGATAAATTATATAATTCTGATTAGACTTGGAAACCATAATTATTATACGACTTACTTATATCTTTTGTTTTAACAGTAAATTATGAAAAGTTTTTTGGATTTCTTACCTTTATTTATATTCAGTTTTTATTCTTTCTAGTGGGGTATTTACGCTGAGCCAATATTTTCGTCTGAAGGAGGTTTCCCAAAAGAATTCTCGGAAAGAATAGCAGAGAAAAGTGCACAACAGGGATTTTCTCGCTCCCGTCTACCTGAATTCACTGAAGAGGAGAAAGCTTTTGTCAAGGGATCAGCAGACTTCTTCGGCGTAAACCATTATACCACTGTGAAAGTGTCAGCCACTAAATCCAAGCAATTCTTTTCAGCGCCATCTATGATGGATGATGTAAATGTTGGATCTTATATTCCTGAGGAATATCCTGCATCAGCTTCTCCTTGGTTGAAAGTAAGTGTGTGTAGTATTGAATTTGATTTAAAATACATAATTAGATGGAGATCCAACCTTACAAGGTATTCAAAATGGAAGTAGCTATCACAAACTTGAACTCCCAATGGTTGAGGTTCTATTAGGATTATAAAATACATACGTTTTAGCGAAGTTGTATTAAGTAACTAGCAGACCGCCCCTGCTTCGCACGGGTATCCGACTGCCCCGGTATCAGTCATTTGTTTTGCAAACGAACTTCCACGGCTCCGAAAGTGTTGTTGATAGCCGCTATTACCCTTTACTTTTCTAAAGTTTTCTTTGGTAAGAACCTACTCCTAATAAAAACAAAAGTAACAAAAAAAGAATTAGCAAAATTGGTCCAGGCGTTATTAAGTTATGCGCTTACCAACACATTTCGTGATTCATTTTTATATAATAGATGACAATCTAAACAGCCAAAAAAGTAGGTTACTGTATCACTAGGCACGCAGTAGAAGCAACAGGATAGTAAGAGTTTGATACTAACGCTCACCCCATTCCAGGTGGGAAAAGAAAGTTGATCTGTGCATGGACCTGGATAGTATATGTACGGTTGGTATGCACCAACAATAGCAACAGTTGTCCAAAACGACTAGAGCGCCACAGGCTTTAAGTTATTTGTTGATAATACTCGCGAAAATAATATTATCATCAATTGTTTTAATTTTCTGTTTCGGATTTATAAGATGATCAGAACTAATTTTCATTTTTTCCATAGCTGGCTCCGAACAGCATCTACCACGCCCTAATTCACCTGAAAGAGAAGTACAATAGTCCAACGTTCTATATCACAGAGAACGGATGGTCAACCTACCCTGACAGTGGCCTGATTGATGATGACAGGATAACTTACTACAGAGCTGCGTGGGAGAGTGCCCTCAATGCTCTGGATGCTGGAGTCAACCTGAAGGGGTACATGGTGTGGAGTTTGTTGGATAACATGGAATGGCTGGAGGGATACATGTAAGTTCGTTATTTATTTGTAGGTCTGGCATACGACTAAATATAGCACCTGATGGTAAGCAAGTCGTCCATGGTCAGTCGCTATAGCAAAGGAACTATAAATGCATTGCTGGCTTGATTTGAAGATTGAGAATTAGGGGATTTGGGACCGGCGACGGCCAAGGATCAGGCAACTTCAGACCCACAGCGAATACAACACAACGTAAACGTTGTTTCATGTTGATATTCTGCCAGGATTTGGTATCACTCCGGACGAGCTGGCCTTTACGCAATCGCTCATAACATATCACAAAGCTAATACCATCGTCATCATCAGTCGAGAAGCACTGATGTAAAAAAAGTTAAATTTCATTTTCGCTTAAATAATTTTTTGGACTAAGCTGCTTTTTAGGAGGTGGATGGCAGATCGGATTTTCGTAATACATATTCTTATATTCAACAGCGCATGTTTCGGCCTGTACCAAGTGGACTACCAAGTCCCAGCTCGCACACGCACCGCTAGGAAGTCCGCGTTTGTCTACAAGCACCTCATCAAGAATCGCTACATCGATTACGAATATGAACCGGAGTCTTTAACCATGACCATTGATGACGGATTTTCACTGTAAATTAAAGTATAAATAAAATTTAATAATTGTTCTTTATTTTTTTTAAAGTTGCCTCACACTACTGTTTACTCCTGTGTCGTGGGTGCGTTTACAAACATTCAATTTCACATACACATCACGCCCAGACCCGAACCAACAATTTGTGGATTGTTGGTCCGGGTCGAAAGAGTTGTTCCGTGCAGGAATCGAACCCGCGACACGTTGCGCCACAGCCATTTGCCCAGCCACCGCGCCAACCGTGCAGTCAATAACGCTTTAATTGTTTAACCATGATCCCTATGCAATCTACAGATTTTAACCCCAAAAATGTTATCCCAAATAATAGCGGGAGTAGGAATCGACGATGCAGAGCCTCGGTTGCGTCCTCGTCAGCCGGTGGAATTTCACGGCGCTTCCACACACAAATTATGTATTGTAAAATAAGTTAATGAAATAATTTTTTTATTGATTTATGTAAATTTTGTATTCCCGGCTTATGGCTCCCACGATGCGATGGACAGGAGCTTCGGCTAGGCCTTGGCCGGAGGTTACATTTCTGGGTCGTTACATAAAACAGACATTAAAATTGCAATAGAGGTGACACATAAATTTAACTTCCTTCTTTCTTAGTTTTCTAAAAAAACATAATTTTGGGCTTGATAAATTAATTTGCCGAGTCATATACATATTTTATTTCGCAGTGTTATTTCGCAGTGTTGTCATTTTACCGTTATTTGTAATTATTTTTACGGTTTTTTATAATCTGTGCGAAATGCCATAGTGTATTTTTTTATAGAGTTGTGGAAATCATTCTTCAAACTAAGACAAGTATATGACTTTATCATGCTGCATTATAGATACATGAGAGATACTGTATCAGAAGAGCAATTTGAACCAAACCATAGTCCTTGAATAAATGGCAATTTATTTTATACTTTTTCGAAAACCCGCCATGACCTAATATAGCATTATAATACCCCGCACTAAAACTAAACCTTTTACCACAATAAATTAAGTATAATACCAAGAAAATATTATTTGGGAGAGTAAAAAACATAGTGATAATATAAAAATAAAACAATAAAATATCTTTAGCAACTTTTATCTGCCATTGAAGTACATATTAACCAAAAATAATACTTCTCGATACCTACATTTAAAACGTGCAAGCTATGACAGGTCAAACTATCTTATCAATTGCTCGAGTCTTGAAAAAAGTTGTCACGTGCAGGTCTGAATGGGTTCTGCTGGATATAAACTATTTAGTATTTATATTTATTGTAATGAATGTAATATATTTGACACCGAGAACACTTAGTCCAATGGGGATCGATCAACGACCTCCGGCCCCCCCAACGCGGGTCTGCGGTCAGCGAGAAGCGTAGCTCGCCGCCTAACCAGAACCAGACGAGAGCCAACAGACGACCGCAGATGGTGCAATAAGGCAGGTACCGCGGCCTTGGCTTAGAGCAGGAGAAGAAGAAGGAACGGGAGTGCTTATAGTCAGTACGAGCTGGCCACTCCCTCTTGCCATACATACGCATACACTATTGCGCTTGATCCGTAACCCCGGAAGCTGAGAACTTTAAGCACCTCAGTGTGACACAAATGGGTCAGCTCAACTGGAGTGATACCACGGCCTCACAGAAAACCGGCGTGAAACAACTACAGCGTTGTATTTCGCCGTTTGTATGAGGTTACCGGAGGCTCAATCAATTGCCCTTCCCCAATCCCTTCCCAATCCTTTATAAATATCCCTAAAAGGCCAGCAAAGCACTTGTAACTCCTTTAGTGTTGCGGCGTTGATGGGTGGCGCTGATTGCTTACCATCAGGTAATCCGTATGCTCGTTTGCCGACATATATGTACCATAGAAAATAACTAACGCAGATTTTCATATGGCACTAACATTGACCCAAAAACGGTGGAACTACGGAACCCTACGAGAGCCGATTTACTAAAAACATCACATCTTAGATAGTTGAAGTACTTTACGAATGAGATAAAAATGGTGTACAGAGCCATCACACAGCTTGTGGCGACTTTTGTTAGTATATAGAGAGTAAATGGATAACACAGTCCAATCATCATGAAGTCATTGGTTTTATGGTACGTATTTTTCTCGATTTTTTATTTGCTTTTTAGTGGGTTTTTTTTACTTGCTATGAACTAGTGCTTGACTGCGATCCTACCTGATGGTAAGCAGTGATGCAATCGTTGATGGTAAGGCGCACTAGTTTATTAAGAGCCTATTCACTCTAGCCTTGAAGACACCTAAATTATATTTGGACGGAAAGACTGCAGCCGGCAAACTGTTCCAATCCCTCGATGTACGCGGTATAAATGACGAGGCAAAACAAAAGTTTGAGTTTTTGGCATTAGGGCTGTAAACGAGCATGCATTACCTGATGGTAAGCGATCGGCAACACCCATGGTCACCAGCAATAAGCAAGTACACGAGGAGTTACGAATGCGTTGCCGGCTTTTTGATGATAAGGGTTTTGGAGATTAAGGGATTGATGACGGCAAAGATTGATACTCCAGTAACTCGCACACGGCTGCAAATTGTGTTTAAGTTTTCGTTTTAAAAGTGTATTTACGTTCGGCGACTAGCCTTGAACCTTATTTTAAAAGTGCTGATAATGTATCTGTCTCTATAATAATGAATCTTTCTTTATCTTTAAACGTGGCAGAACCATGCTTCGCCACGAATAGGCCAGGTCGAAAAGAATGATACAATGTTTCGTTGTAAGCGCGGTTACCGGAGGCCCAATTCTTACCCTATCCCCGTCCCTCTTCAATCTTTTAATCCTCTTATCCCCATTATAACGACAACGCACCTGTAACTCCTCTGATGTTGCGGGTGTTCATAGGCGGTGACGATTGTTTACCATCAGGAAAGATGCAAGAAGCTTTTGTGCATAGGGCATATCACATAAAATTTGCTGGATGACATCCCACTTCACATTGTTAAATACTAATTTACTCTTGCAATTTAATTTTTACTAATTATTGTTAACTAATTAGTTTGTTGGTGGTAGCCTGTCACTGCTCGACAGTACGGCAACAGCTTCGGTTCCCTGATGACTTCCTTTTCGGAGCCGCTACAGCCGCTTACCAGATCGAAGGGGCATGGAACGAAGATGGTGAGTTTTAGAGAGAAAAAAAATTCTATGTTCATTAAATAATATGGTCTTAGAATGGTATTTGTGTCATTGCAGGCAAGGGTGAAAGCATCTGGGACAGACTGGTCCATACCAACCCTGCAATCGTACAAGACTTAACCAACGGTGACGTCGCTGCTGACTCCTACCACAACTACAAGCGTGATGTCGAGATGATGAGAGAGTTAGGCCTGGATGCTTACAGGTTCTCCCTCTCCTGGGCTCGGATCCTTCCTACAGGCATGGCCAATGAGGTCAACCCAGCTGGCGTAGCTTACTATAATAACCTTATCAACGAGATGGTGAAATACAACATCACCCCAATGGTCACCCTCTACCACTGGGATCTTCCCCAAAAACTGCAAGACTTGGGGGGATTTATGAACCCCTTGTTTGTTGATTGGTATGAAGACTACGCGAGGGTCGTCTTCGAGAACTTTGGTGATAGGGCTAAGCTGTTTATCACATTTAACGAACCTAGTCAAATCTGTTTTGAAGGTCTTGAATATATGAACAAAGCTCCCCTTCTGAATACTTCTGGTGTCGGAGTTTACTTATGTGCTAAGCACTTGGTCTTGGCTCATGCAAAAGCCTGCCATTTGTATAACAAAGATTTCAAACCAAGCCATGGAGGTCAGTGTGGTATTACAATCAGTGTGAACTGGTTTGAAGCAGATACTGACGCTGCTGAAGATTTGGAAGCTGCTGAACTGATGAGGCAATCTCAGGTGAGATATTTTCTATTTTATATAAAAAAGATCGTATGTAGTATCTGTAACTGAGTACTTCTTTCTGTAAGTCTGCCTCCAACCCCTAAGGTGTTTAATTTTTACATGAGATTGACGGAGAGACAGACTCTTTATTATCAAATAAAAATGTTTACATTTGTTTTTTGGAAATCTCCTAAAATGTTTTTACCCTCAAATGGAAAGTCATATATTATCACTCACAGTAGTAATAAAATCATTCTGATCCAAGTTACATCTATACTAATATTATAAAGAGGTAAAATTTGTAAGTTTGTATGTTTCTATGTTTGTAAGTTTGTATGTAGGGAGTAATCTTTGGAACCGCTAGTCGGATTGCCAAAATTCTTTCGCTGATAGACAGCTACAATGTTCCTGAGTGCTATAGGCTATACAACATCACTCTACGATTACTTATTATACTTTATTTACTTACATGTTCTATATCAGAATAGGAGAATCGTTACCCCCAATGTAACGGGAGCAAAGCTACGGGCAAAAGCTAGTACTTACAAGATAATTAATATAATACTTTACCATCTGACATTCAACAAAATTCAAGTTAAAATAGCAAGTTTTCGAATGTTTGGTAGTAAACAAAGGAATCTTTAATTTTAAATCGAGTTTCTTTTCTTTCTAGTGGGGAATCTACGCTGATCCAATATTTTCGGCTGAAGGTGGTCTTCCAAAGGAACTTTTGGCTAGAGTAACCGAAAATAGTGCACAGCAGAGATTCTCTCGGTCTCGTCTGACAGATTTTACTGAAGAAGAAAAAGCCTTTATTAAGGGTTCAGCAGATTTCTTCGGTGTAAACCATTACACGACGGTGAAAGTTTCAGCTACTAAACATAAGCAGTTCTATTCAGCGCCATCTATGTTGGATGATGTGAATGTTGGCTTCTATTGGCCTGAGGAAAATCCACCATCGGCTTCTCCTTGGTTGAGTGTAAGTGACCTGTAACGTTGACAAATTATTCTTTTCCACATAGATGGAGCTAAAAATGGCGAGTTCATATTTTAGAATGGTGGACTACTAACCATACGATATATTTTCGTATTACCTACCAAATTCGTTCAGAAATTGAAATATGTTATCGTGTAAAGAAATATTGTCTTGAGATAATGTACCTTTTTAAATAAAGTATGCACCTTTCTAATCTTGAAATCAGGAGATTGAATAAAAATATTTTATCTTACCGCCTATCTTTTCGCTATGCATAATTTAAAAAAAGAATACCTATACAATATTTTTACTGATATATTATTGCATTGAATATGAGGTGTTGTACTTTTGTCTTCCAAATACGATTTCAATGCAAATAACTCGATTTTTTTTTGGAAATTTTCTTTCTCTTCAAAAATCACCATCGGAACTATTTAGCATTGCCTGTACAAAGGGGGAGATTAAGGGACTAACTAAGCACCACTTTTTTTACAGATGGCTCCCAACAGCATGTACCACGCTTTATCTCACCTAAAAGAAAAATACAACAATCCTGCCATTTATATCACAGAAAATGGATGGGCCACTTACCCCAACAGCAGCCTGATTGATGATGACAGGATTACATACTACAGAGCTGCGTGGGAGAGTGCCCTCAATGCTCTGGATGCTGGAGTCAACCTGAAGGGGTACATGGTGTGGAGTTTGTTGGATAACATGGAATGGCTGGAGGGTTACATGTAAGTGTCTTGGTCGAAAAACACTAATATGAAACCGATAAGGCCGTCAAAAATGTTAAATATTTATTTTAAATGAAAAATAACGACGTTTATGCTTAAATTGTGTGGGAGAGCCATGCTCGACCCGAGTCATACCACGGTTTCTCAGAATACGTTTAATCCAATTAATATAAAAAATCTTTTTTTAGACCCTGTTTCGGCCTGTACCAAGTAGACTACCAAGATCCAGCTCGCACACGCACCGCTAGGAAGTCCGCGTTTGTCTACAAGCACCTCATCAAGAATCACTACATCGATTACGAATATGAACCGGAGTCTTTAACTATGACTATTGATGACGGATTTTAATAAAAACAAATGATTCTTCTAGTCAATAAATTTATTTTCTTTACCTATCATAGATTTGATAAGATTTGAAAATCTTACACACCTAATATTGTACGACTACGTTACAAAGTTATGTCATCACAATTGAAGTGAAATATAATTAAAATATTTTTCTTCTCTACACTCGTTGTTCCCTACAAAAACATTAAATATTTTTTTTATGTCGTTTTTGATATAAAACCTCAGACCAATGAAACCTAATTGGTCTGAGTATAAAACGAACTGTTACGGTTTTTGTATAATCTGTACGAAATGTCAATGTCCGATCGCCCACCGTTGTTTTCAGTCTATGCTCAGATTTGACAGAAAGACATTCGTCGGAGGATGTTGATTACTCATTCGCCAATAATGTTTAATTTTTAAACAATAATTTTAATATTAACAACAAAAATAAACAGTGCGTATTGTTTGTAATATATTGCGAGTGTTTAATGGGACATTAGATCAAAATGCATCGACGTCGTGGACCTAACTTCACGTATGTGAGCGGATGTGTGAAATATATGATTTTCGTGTTGAATTTTATATTCTGGGTAAGTTAAATATGTTTTAAATTTGTAGTATAGTATTAAAGGGTGTGTATTTGTCGATGATTGTCGTTATTTTCTACGTTAGAGAGCTGGGATTTTGAAGTTTCATTCATTGTTTGAGTGTGAATCATTGTTTTCGATCATACTCACTATGGGAAATCTGCCATGCAGTGTCGTTTTGTTTCTCGGCCGCATCCGTTCTCTATTGTTCCGGCCTCGATGGCGATAATGTGATAAATGACGCCAATTGTTGAACATTACAACGAAACTGCGATTTTATTTGCATTCCTCTGCTGACTGATACCTAGTGCTTAAACAATAGGTTTTAAGTACAATTATTTATGTAATATTAATATTCATACACAAAGGTTCAATGACTCAGGGTTAAAATTTGCATCCTAAGAGCCAGTTTCAACGCTTATTATTTTGAACACTGCATAGCACTGCAAGCATTGTCTACCAGCCAACCTTTGGGTAATGCAGAGACAATTTAGTGGCACCTTACAAGTAAATAATTAATTTAACTGGTGGATAATTCACACAAATTACTTTCCCTCTATGTTGTCTTTTTAAATATAAAAATTTTGGTGCCTATAAAACCAACCATATGTATGCATATACCATTTCTTTTTTAAAGGAGGTTCAAAAACATTGTCTATGCTATTTCCTAAGTATGCATCACCTCTTTTCTCTGAAGAGCAGATGTGATGTCATACTTCTTAGTTGTTAACAACATAAGGTAAAATATTTGTTTCTTGTGGCCACCAACTACATAAGAATTAAAATGAATAAATTGACCGAATATAAAATTTTGATGTAGAGAAACTAGACTTCATTTTTTTGTTTTTGAAAAATGAGTAGACGGTAAACTCTGGATTGTAAGTAATTGTCAAATATAAACACCTATATCACCAGAGGAAATACAAGTGTGTTCCTGTGCTGGTTGTTTTCAATACAATAAATAATGTTTATAATAATGTACTTACCATTCATTACGGAAGTTACATTTCACAACTAATCTATTAAGACTTTTATTGAATGTCAAATACTTATCAAATACTTTTGTATAAAATAGCAACATATGATTGTCATCTTATTGTCAATGACATAATATTTATTATATCATCCAAACTAATATTATAAATGCGAAAGTAACTCTGCCTGTCTGTCTTTTCTTCTCTCTCTAAACAACTGAAGTGATTTCTGTGAAATGTACAGACATCACTTGGAACTCTAGAAAGGACATAGGATGGTTTTTATACTAAAAATCAGCAGGGAGTCTTTATTCCCCGAGATCAGAGTCACGGGCAAAATCTAGTAATACTATAAAAGCAAGATAAAACTAATAATTCAGTACCTTTAGCATAAATTGAATAAATGAGTATGTTTTTTTTATTCGTCAAAATAATTTAATTTTAATGGAGGATGTTACCCTATTGTAGTGTTATCGTAATATCGATTTTAATAAGTTAACATATATAGGTAATATAACAAAATGAGGAAAAGCGAAGCATTGCGTTCACAATTTTATATTATTTATAAAAAAAAATATAATAATCCCACATTAGATTAACATTTTTTTTTAAAGAAACAGGAGAACATGTTAAGTTTAGCTTCCTAAATAAATGCCTGGCCTGTTCATTTCTATTAATTGCCATACTAAAATTTAAGGGTGTTAGGGAGCTCCGTAATTGTAACCGAAACTATCGGATATCCGATATAAAAAATCATCCGTAACCTTAACCGAATCCGAAATTTAAGTTTCGGATGGTATCGGATAGGGGCGGAGCCTAATTGAGACACGTTATGACAAGTTGTTTTGATCGGTCAGCCACTGCCAGTGCCGACACACAAGCTGCGCGCATTATTTGTTTTTCTTTGACAAATGTGTTGGTTGTGTTACGGAATCGATTGAATTTGTACAAAATACGTCCTAAGTCGAGTGCAGTTTGGTCGTTTTTTGATGAAATGACCGATTCCGCAAAATGGAAGCAGTGTGGTAAAAGCATTTCAAGGAAAGGAGGTGGGACCTACATCGCTAAAACTATTCACCTTAAATCACAACATAGTGATAAGTACGAAGAATTTTACTTTTAAAATTCCTTAAAAATATAGATAATATCCGTAACCGAAACTAACGGATAATCCGAAATAATTTATTATCCGTATCCGTAACCGTATCCGGTATAATAATTATTCCTATATCCATAATTCCATATCCAATCCGTAACCGAAATTTCATATCCATAACATCACTGCTAAAATTCATTTATTAGTAACTTAACCAAGTCCTTAGCAAAAAGGTTTCAGAAAAAATTGTGAGGTTTAGTTTAAGTAAACATTAAATGTCAATGAGTATGGCAAATAATATTGTTTAACGGTTGATTTACATAACTAAAAATATAATATTTAATTTCAAATTTAATGTGTTGTAAATATTTCCTCTCATCTTAAAAAATATAATAACAAATACCGCTTTTTGTTGTAATTTTTGGGGGCATTTATATTAATCTAACTTTAAAATTCTTTTCTTCTTGAGGGTCAACAATCAAATGTCTTCTCACACCCTGTGTGAGATAGGAGTGTCGGACTCTTACTGACTAACACCATTCTATTCCATGTCCTGTTCCGCGCCAAGGCTGCGGTACATGCGCTCGACCCTAGCTCAGGTTTTAGTGGGCTTCTGTTAGGATGGTGTTTTAGAAAACGCGCGCGGTTCTTGTAGGGCGGCGAGCTAACCTTGCTAGATGTCTGCAGACTCGTGGTTACGGTGGCCGGAATTCGATGCTCGATAGTCGACATGCGGAATCTTCTGCGGTGAGGATAGGAGTGGAGATGCAAAACGTGCCCCGCCTCTATCTTTGCAAGCATTACTGCTTCGGTCTGCGTCTAAAACTGTTTTTTTGGTCAGCGGAAATCCACCAAATGACTTTTCCCGCAGTGCGAGAGTGAGTGTCATAAGACACTCTCTCTTCACTTTGACTTTTCTTACTAACCCTCCCCCCGTTCCTTCTCCTGCTTTAGGCTAAGGCCGCGGTGCCTCAGCTGATGTTTCGAAACCTTTGCATAAATCCAACTTGCACTAGGCACACAGGTGTTATTATGCAACTATTGAGAAACATACATACATATATTGCTTTAAAGTAGATACGTATTATGTATCTTTAATGCCTTATTCTGATCATAAACCAAATAAGTTAGGTAATCTAAAAGTTTTAAATACGAAAGCTACTTTCTCTTTGTGATTGCTTAATAGGCATGACTAAATTATTTGATCAACATATCAGCAGGCTTCGTTTTTTTGTTTTTTTTTTTATGTTATAGGATAACTAACCGCTAGACGGTTTTTTTATGTGATAGGTCGGCAAACGAGCAGACGGATTACCTGATGGTAAGCAATCAGCGCCGCCCATGGACACCCGCAACAACAAAGGAGTTACGAGCGCGTTGCCGACCTTTTGGGGGTTAGTGATTTGGGAGATTTAGGGATTTGTTTGGGCAGGGGAAGGATTGGGCCTCCGTTTACCTCACTCACACGGCAAAACACAACGATGTGGTTGTTTCATGCCGGTTTTCTGTGAGGCATGGCTCTCCCACACTTAATTTATTACCTCTAGGCTCGTGATTGAGCGTCAGGTTGCGGTGGCGTGGATCAAGATCTCATTTCATCAACAGGTTTATTCCCCTTCTGATCATGGTCACAATAACAGGCTGTCCACACATCAAAATAATTTGCATGAGGTTATTTCAGCACCGCCATTTTGATCAAGTTGTTATGTAAGTTGAGTATGAAATTACAGAAAATTTTTCGCACGAATGAGGTAGTTTCCAACTAGACAAATTCAATACTTTTATCTAAATGTCAAAAACTATACTTTTCTATGAAATTTGTATGTAACGATGGGTTATGGCGTCATAGTATTTCAGCGTCAAATAGCTTACTTATTTCTTAAAAATTAGTTACTAAGGCCGTACTATAGTAGGCTCGTGTTTCAAATTCTAACCCTCAATAAGACGAAGCTTATTTCTGCCAATATTAACTTAGTATTTTTTTCATTTTCAGTTATTTGGAGGGTTGCTGATAGCGGTCGGTCTCTACGCATTCATCGATAAATGGCAAGCCACAGGACTTATAAAGGTAAAGTAACCATTTTAATTTTTCCTGCCCTATTTCTGTGCTGCTTGAGGTCAGCCCATATCCATTCTATTACTTTATTAGACGTTATGATTACACGTGGCAGTCTACAACTAAGTACCTATGCGATTTTAGCGATTTTTCTGTCGCGCACAGCAATACTTTGGAATGACCTTTTGGCGGCGGTATTTCCGAACCTATACGATCTACAAATCTTTAAGAATCGAACGTCCTCCGAATCGTGACTCCTCTAGTTTTGCGGATATCCATGATCGGTGTTGATCACCGACCACCAAGTAGGTAACAAGTAAACCGTAAACCGACCTTGATAAAAGGAGTATACAACATCATCATCATCATCATCATCAACATCAAAATAATTGATTAATCCGTACCAGTAGTTTCGAAGATCGGAGCGATCGAACAAAGAAAATCTTCAGGTATATAACATAAGTAGGTATCTATAGATTAAAATATGCATATCAGCTGTGTTTTTAAACAACCGTTAATACGGGAAGAAAAAAACCATAAGTGGAGCCATTTCATTATAGGATAGCTATTTAAAGAGGTCCCCTTCAAAGAGTATCAAGTTTCGTAGATTAGGGGCTGCACTATGATATGATGTTTAAGCATTATTGTTCATTGTTGTGGTGTGGAAAAGGATGGCAATATTATCTGGTATATCTTTATTTCTGTCGCTTCATCAATATCTATCTGCTAATATTATGAAGCTGGATAGTATTTTTGCTTGAACTCGCGAATCTCTGGAACTACTGGTAGTTTTTGAGTGGAATAATCGGTAAGGAACGGCTTAAGCTGAAAAACACCACGTTACGTATTACAGGAGCCGATCATGTATTTGCTTATTTAGTATCTGTACGGACTATTTTTTTATCGGATTGGTTGGAAAACGAGCAAATGGATTACCTGATGGTAAGCAATCAGCGCGGCTCATGGACATCCTCAACAGATTGGTATTGCAGAAGTCTCATTTGGTATTGCAGAAGTCCATTCAAACAGTCTCTGTGAGAGAGGAGATTTTGACATACACATGAGAGGGGCTCATGTAGAGGTGTTTTTTTATGTTATAGTACGACAGTCGTGTTACCCGATGGTAAGCAAGCAATACCAGAGGAGTTAAGAGTGCGTTGGATGCCTTTTAGGGATAAAGATCTCGGAGATTTCGAGATTGCGAAAAAATAGGAAGGATTGGCCCTGCGATAACCTTACTCCAACGGCGAAACACAACGCTATAGTGGTTTCACGCCAGTTTCCTAAGAGACCGTGGTATCGCTCCGGTCGAGCAGCTACATTTATGTCCATAGCGACTCCGTAAAGACCAAAATCGACCTATGGAGTTTGTGGAAAGAGAAACGGCCTTGACAATTATCCAAATATTTTCTATTTTCCTTTTTCTACATGTAATAATGTATTTTCCTCATATTTTCAGTTGGATACAGTATATGATGTTATGCTGAATATCAGTCTTCTGATAGCTTTGCTCGGCGGTGTCGTGTTTATCGTCAGTTTCGCCGGCTGCGTGGGCGCACTCCGTGAGAACACGTGCTTACTCAAATTTGTAAGTATATTTCCTTCATTATTGAGCTTTTGCCCGCGACTTTGTTCGCGTTGAATAGTGACTTCCTGCAGATTTTTGGTTTAAAGACTATCCTCTTTCTCTTTATTTCCAAACTATGTCTGTAATTACCAAATTTAACACAAATCGATTCAGCAGTTTACGAGTGAAGAAAAGAGACACAGACAGAGTTACTTTCGCATTTATAATATGGGTTTGGATTAACATTTTGTTGTGAGATTTTGAAAAAAAAAGTTTTCATCCACTCTTTTAAACCTAGAAGAAACTATGCGTACTTGGTATGAAAGTTTACAACGATTTATTTAATTTGAACTTGCCTATAAGGAAACTCGATATGTATTTCCTCGGCTAGGTAGATAAGGCAGTCTGAGTATGTAACACAACGTTATAAATAGTATTTAGTTACCTGTACAAGTAAATACGCCGATTTCCGCACCGAATTACACTTTTTTATAATAAAGCCAATTCTAATGTGGGTAATGTATTTTAAAATAATTTAAAAAAATCTCCTCTCGGATTGCGGGAATAAATGGGCGATTATATCCCATGTATATCCAAATTTATAATAAACTTCTCGTCCATCTTCGAGATTTATCAATTACTAGATCCAAGAGAGCATTACGTAGATGGCTAATTGAGAATCTTTTCTACTCTATATAAATAAGATTTTTTACTATACAAGTGTCCAAAGTAATGTTGTCTTACTTCTCACTAATACTAACATCCAAATAGCCAAACATCGTAACTTTCGGTTACGTTTTTGGATGTTTGTTACTCAATGATGCCAAAACGGGTGGACGGATCTGGATGAAATTTGGCACAGGCATAGGGTACACTCCGGAATAGGACATAGGCAATATACCATGCGGTAGGAGCCGCGGGCGGAAGCTAGTAAATGAATAATATACAACACGTCCAAAAGTTGATCTGTTATTTAAATTAAAAGATTTAAAAAACACGCCTGTCTTGTTTACAAATCCAAATATTTAAATTATTATTTATCCTTGAAAATATCTCAAAATAGAAACCTAGTGTGATATATTTTTGTACTCTCCATATGCTTTTTTGAGAAATAATCTTTGTTGTTATTTAAGCCCCATAGCCACTATATTGATTTTTAGACACAACCTAGCCTATGTCACCCCGTATGATTTAAGGATTCCAACGATATGCTATATGTCTAATTCTGCCCAGGCGTTTAGAAGTTATAGTGGAATAAGGAAAAATTACATACATACATGAACCCTAAACACATAACACTTCTTTTTTGGGCATTCGTGTAAAAAATACAAATTCTTTCTAATCTTAATAACCGATGTTTTATTCCAGTACTCCCTTTGTCTGCTGATCCTGTTCCTGGTGGAGATGGGGGGTGCAGTCTGTGGCTTCGTGTTCCCTCGCTCCCTGCACGGGCTGCTGGAGCTGAGCTTCACGGAGCGCGTCGTCCACGCGTACAGAGATGACCCTGATCTGCAAAACTTTATCGATTTTGCACAGAGCGATGTGAGTTTTTCAATTTTGTCTGTTTTGTATTGAATTAATTGAAGGTTGTAGTGGCCTGAACTGTCACTTCTGGGTCTTCTGTCTATTTGGGGCCATATTCGATGGTGTGTTGTTAAATGTTAAGAAAGGGGTTTTTTAGGGGGGGGGGGGGGGGGGGGGGAATCTTCAAATGTTTCGCCCTGGGGTTAAGATTCTTATTGACTAAAAAAACACCCTGTGTCGCCCTGGGAGAGTGTTGGTGATAATACATTTAATAGGTAATAACTAAGTTTATACAGTGGTCATTATGTTATAAGTAATGTAATAAAAAATATAACATGTTTTAAGGACTATATTATCTAGTTATAAGTTAAATTGCTGCGCCCTAACAGGGTAATGTACTGTACTGGTTGTATGTCATACTTGTCATTATATGTACATTGTGCAATATGAATAAATAAATAAATAAATGGAGCCGAGCAGAGGTGGGGTGATAGGGAGTCATAATCAGCCTATAAGTGCCCACTGCTGAGCAAAGGCCTCTTCTCATACGGAGAAGGTTAGAGCATTAATCACCACACTTGCTCAATGCGAGTTGGCGATTTCAAACTTATAATAAGAAATTATAAGTCCAGGTTTCTTCACGATGTTTACCTTCACCGTATGCCAGTGGTGTCTAAATAATCATAGAAAGTACATATAACTCTGAAAAAGTCACATTAGTACTTGTCAGGTTTCGAACCCACCTCATGCATGAGAAGCCGTGGTGGCCCGGAGGTTAAGGGGCCCCCTTAACCTCCGGGCCACCACGACGATAGGGAGTGTCAGATTCTTATTGACTATAAACTATCTCGATTCTTCTCCTGCTCCTAGCAGGCCATACATTATTGCGCTTGCTTCGCAACCCTGGTGTACCTCTGTATCTGTATTAATTCTGCTGGACTGCACGGTTGGCGCGGTGGCTGGGCAACTGGCTGCCGCACGACCTGTCGCGTATTCAATTCCCGCAGGGAACAACTCTTTGTGTGATTCACAAATTGTTGTTTCTGGTCTGGGTGTCATGTGTATGTGATATTGTATGTTTGTAAACGCACCCACGACACAGGAGTAAATGCTAGTGTGGGACAACGTTCTTAAATTTTACACACATTTGTATAACGTGAGACTGACATCACCAATTTTTTCTAGTTCCACTGCTGTGGCTTAACCTCAGATGGTTACATGGATTGGTCGAAGAACGAGTACTTCAACTGTTCATCACCGTCGGTGGAAAGGTGTGGGGTTCCGTTCTCGTGCTGCATCAACGCGACTGACATCTCCTCGGGCCTAGTCAACATCATGTGCGGATATGGCGTGCAGAATTATCCTGTAAGTTTCGTTTTTAAAGACTTTTCTTTTGGCATTGTGTGGGGGAGCCATGATTGTGAGGTTTTATGGAGGACCAATATTCCCTCCCTTAATCCTTCTCCAATCCCCTTTTAATCCCCAATAAAAATAATACAAAAAATCATACATAATTTTGTAAAATCACACTGTGAAACATAAAACTGTAGTTGTATCACGCCAGTTTCCTGTGAGGACGTGGTGTCACTCCGGTCGAGCCGACCCATTCGGGCCGAAGCTTGGCTCTCCCACACTTATTTATGTCTTCTTTTGCTGTGCCCTATCAGCATCCATAGTATGAGCTTTAAGCCCTTTATAACGTTAGTGAATGCAAATCAATAAATTATATGAAATACAGGCCCTATGAGAATACCAGCGCTGCGGTATTTTTACCTACTGGTGAATTATCGCAGCATATGCTGAGATAGTGGCCTTTTTGGCCTCGCACAGGCCTTTTATTTTATTTTTTAATATTTTTTGTTGTTGTTTTGTTTATTTTTTCTTTTTGTATAATTATATAAAATGTAATTGTATTTATTTTCTGTGCGAGTCTCAAATAAATGTTCTTTCTTTCTTTCTTTCTAAAGATTATTCGTTATATCGACGATATATGTCAAATTTATAATTCAACTTATTTTGAGGATGTGATAAAACTAACATGCGTAAATGTACACCGTTCCAGGTCGCAGAAGCCAGTAAGCGTGTATGGACGAGTGGATGTATAGAGATAGTTCGCTCCTGGGCGGAACGCAACCTGTATACCATCGCCAGCGTCGCGCTAGCTGTGGCACTCGCCCAGCTGTTCGTCATCTACCTCGCCAAGACCTTGGAGGGACAGATTGAGTTGCAGAAAGCTAGGTATGTATTTACCAGCTAGTGTTTTTACGAAGTTGGTTTTCTTTGAGGAGGATCTACGTTGAGTTTCGCCGCGAGAATGAGGTTGCCGGTGGCCCGATCCCTCCCCAATCCCATAATCTCGAAATCTCTAATCCCCAAAAGGTCGGCAAACGCACTCGTCCGTTGTTACTGGTGTCCATGGGCGGTGCTGACTGCTGCATAACACATAAAAAAAGGAAAAATCATCCAATCACATCTCCCTGGGTGGGGCGAGAGGGAATGTCAAACTCTTCCTCGCGAAATACAGAAGAAGAAAGAAGAAAGAATCCGTCTGTGGTGGACAATTGGCTCTTTGTGCTACCTTTGCTCGTCGTCCAAAAATCCACACTTACGGTGGCAACGCTGACAGTACTTACCATCAGCCTTTATATAAGCGCCAACAGCTGAAAAATTTAAAATTTAATCGCTCAAAGCGGATTCACGGTGATTTCTTTGATCGTTTTCAATGGTGTCTAAATAATCTTAGCAAGTACCTACATAAAATTTGATTGCATTGATGCTTCACAGGGTTTTGTATCCGCACTTGTCCTGTATGAGAAGCGCCTTATCTTCTGGACCGCAACGACAGCAAAAAACTTTTACTAACATATTTTTTTAATAAGCTTCAACTAATTACAGATGGCAAACATGAAACAGGGGCACATTGGGCGCGTATCGAGACGAGTGTCGGCGAGCGCTACTGTAGCAGGCGCCTCGCACGGGACTCGAACCCGCGCCCCCCGCACTACACATGTGATCGACCAGAAACTGAACGGTAATACATGTGAAGTGTCATGACTATTTTTTCATAACTTGGAATCGAATCTGCGTGTAGTGTGCCATGACCCTAATTGTGACGACACATTTGATGTGCCATCGATTTATAAACTTCTACCGGGAATCGAACCTGTGAAATGTTAAACGATTGAACAGTATACGTGTTTTCCTCAACTAGGAATCGAATTGCGAAAAAATGTATTTATGTGCCATTGACATTGTTATGGTGAAATTAATGTTAATTGTTGAGAATTTTACTTATTATCACTAAGACCTGAATTCTATATTATTCGGCATAAAAAACAGTATTAATTATAAAGTTTGTGTGGGAAAGAGACAGCACTATTATTTGAATTATAGCCTTTTTACACACAGCAACATTCCAAATTCTTAATCGTATCCGATCAAAAGCTTGCCTGAATTCCAATTTTTTATATTTTTTTACTAAAACCTGAAAAATGTGCCAAAAATTTTACGCCTGAATTGCCAGAAATAAATTTTGTAATAAAATGTTGCCATCTAAAAAAAAGTAAGTAAAATTCTTAAACAAGATTTTTAAATGAAACATCACAAAAAAAATGAATCTCAGGTCATTTCTTGCATTTCGTATTTTCGTATCATCGTGCTAGCCCCATAGGGAGTAAGCAGATCTCTATGAGCTTTTTATTTAAGCATTATTGTGCATATAATTATGATATAAGTTAATTAATTCATGTATTCGTGTATGTATGTGTTGCCAATTCACGGTGTTAATATTATCTGTAGTTTTTAAGCTAGTGTTGCCCGAATTTGTATTTTTTTTCTTAGGATAAGTAGAGTTTTTAGTTATAAATTGGGATATCGATATAAATACAGACCGATTTTGTATGTATCTGTATTTATTTCGGGTGTTTTTTTATAATAATTATTACGTGTTGGATAAAAACCGGGTAAATGTAAGTTTAAATTTACCATTTTCAACTAGAGTGATTTTCATTTTACTTTAATTCTACTTATCCTAGGAATAAAAATAAAATATGGGTTAGATAGTCTGATTCAAAAATATGACTTTAGTACATTAATTTTAGACTCAAAATAGCTCAATTCAGCCCCATAACGAAATCACAGATTCCTATTACCTACAGATAGAAGAGAAAAAACTACAACGTTTTTATAATAACTATCATGAGACATACTAAATTAACTAAAAATCGCAGGTTACTCACGTGTTTATATTGAGAAAAGGTCTACTAGTTTCGAACCACAGAGGGTAGACGCGGCGACGTCGCGCAGCTTACAGTAGGCTGCGCGATGTTATTTTATGAGTAAGGACTCTTTTCTATTAAGCACACGTAACGATAGAATATTAGAAATCGGCTCATTACATTTGACTTTATTCATTACGAACATACACACATAGAAATAAAAACCAGTATTATTTCTCTTTAAAATTTCACTAACGACCCGTCCCGGCTTCGCACGAGTCAATGCTGATACTAAACGTCTCCACTATTTAATGGATATTATTATGCATATTATAAACCTTCCTCTTTAATCACTCGATGTATCAAAAAACCTTATCAAAATCATTTGCGTGGTTTTCAAGATATAAGCATACATAGGGATAAAAGGACAGAGAAAGCGATATTGATTTATACTATGTAGTAATTTCGATGTACTAAAGTCATTAAAACTTTTGCAACAGACTATCTGAACCACCCTGTATAGTATATGTACCTATAATATTATCCCTGCATTTATAACAGACTGTATATACGGCATTTATTCATAGAAACTACTATTGTAAATGTCTTAAAATTATGAATTTAATTCTCAATTATAAATATTATAATAGTAATTAATATCGTTTAGTATCGAATCGATACTGTTCTTTATCCCATCACTAGGATATTCTCCTGTGTTTATCCACATCACACCTTGATACGAAATAATAATTTGTTACTTAATAACGACTAGAATTATACGGGTTACTCCCGTAACTTTTCGACGGTGCTCGATTAGTTTCAAAGCTTAACCGGCGCTCATAAGCAGCATTCTCGTAAAATTTCGGGAGTAAACTTTGTATTTTTAAACATGATTGATTCGTGTGGGATTGAATCTTCAATCGATCTCTTAAGCACTTCGTTTTTTAATGACGATTATTGTTAAGATAGTGTACGCGGCGCGGGTTTTCTTGCAAAACTTTCAAGTTCAAAATCAAGGAAGCTTATTAAGCTATGTAAGTTGTTGTCTGAAACCTTGCTTCATGAAGAACAATTTCGTAATATTATTAAATCGAAAGGTTTGAAAAGGAGTTTTAAGTTTGTATGTAAACTTAAAATTGTCTTTCTCAGTCTTTCTAAACTTTTTGACTTTTTGAAAATGTTTTTGACTATTTTTTTAGATCTTGATTTACTTATAGCTTACTAGCGACTCGCCCCACCTTTGCACGGGTGCAATACTGATACTAAATTTCTCCACTATTTAATGTATGTTATAATACATATAAACTTCACTCTTTAATCACTATTGCCCGGTTTCCGAAAGCCCGATCAATGTTAAAATCAACTAACTAGGTGTCAAATCTCTTGTCATCTGATTGGTTGTTGATAATTCAGTCAACCTATCAGATGACTTGACAAGAGATTAAATTGATCTTATAATGATATTTTTTTAGAAAAACCGCATCAAAATCCGTTGCGTAGTTTTAAAGATTTCAGCTTACATAGGGATATAGGGACAGGGAAAGCGACTTTGTTTTATACTATGTAATGATAAGAACCAAGTTTCTTTATCAATTGAATAGTTTCTATGATTTTGGACTTCAAATTATGTACTGAAAGCCATACCGCGTAAGCTCTTACGTATTCAAAAGAATCAATAATCAAACAGTTATAAGTACCTATATAATTAACAAATAAATAAATAATTAATAGTAATAGTGTAAATGTAATCGTATTCATTAATTAAATTCTTACAAATACACATACTTCCTTATATAATAGGTATATATAATTAGGTAATAATTATCAAAATTGTGATATATATTTACATGTATGTATAAATATTTTTTAATTTTAACTATCTAGAGACATATAAATTTATTGAGAAAAACGTTTTACTCGCGTGAATTACTAAAGAAAAGCTTTTACAGGGCAAATGCCGCTGTTAAGAACTAGTTTTAAAGTAATAATTTTAATACACTAAGAGCTGATTTTTTAATAGTCAGATAAATGTTATCTAAGGTATAAAATTGTTGCTGTCACTGTCTTATACAAACATTCTGACGCGACAGCATCATAATTATTCCCCAGGTAACTTTTATCTAACCATTGAAAAATCAGCCCTTAATAAATAATTTCACTAATCCCAGATTTAAACACAGATTATAATACAGTAGGTATGTATAATTGCTCACAAGCTCAATTTGCCCTAATTTAATTACAATACCGCCAACGTATCTTGGCGAGTCTGAAGTTAGCCGATTAGCTGCGCAGTAAACAATTTTGTTCCTAAAAGATCCATTGCGCAGACAAACGGCTAACTTCAGACTCGCCAAGATACGTCGGCCGTACTGTATTTGATAATAAAGACTTACTTACGTGAATTAAATGAGATAAGCCCAAATGGTTTCAAGTTACAACGAGACTCTTAATCATGAGCAGCGTTCGTTGAATTTCTCACTTAAAGTCAAAATCATTTCAATTAGACCACAGTAGGCACTTTTGAACTTCAAGGAAAAAAGGAAAAAAGTATTTCAAGAGCTTTAAAATTAGGCGTGTCAGTCTGTCCGTCTGTCCTCTAGTGAAGCTATTTGCTCGTTCCAAAGTGTAGATTCCTATGGAGAAGAACGAGCAAGAAACTCCATGGTTACTCTTTTTCAAACAGTTTTACAATACATGCTTTGTCAATTCACGTAAGCCGTTATTCTGAATAAAAAAGGAGTTATGTTAGAAAATTTGTACTTCTTGCTCATTGGCTCAATTGACTTGTTCAACATTTTCATTCCAAGACTTAAATTAATAGATATAGACGGCCTTATTACGAAACAAGCGTTTATTTTAGGTTTAAACCATTGAGTCAGTTTTTGTATCTCAAATTGAAGGTGAGAATCGACAGATGATCTCCGGCCGTAAGCGCGGGTCTGCGGACGGCGAGTAAGGGTAGCCGTCCGACTAGAACCAGACATGAGCGTACGGCGCGTAGCGTTCCTCGCGCCTCAAAGAGCCCATAGACCACCACAGACGGGGCCCTATGCCATTCGACCACCACAGACGGAGCCCTAAAGGGCTGATGTTCAGCCGGGGTTGCGGGGTAAGCGCAATGAGTCTTTGCGGCCTCGGCCTAGAGCAGGAGAAGAGGTGGGGGTTTTTAGTCAGAAAGAGTCTGACACTCTCTCGCCTTACCCTAGGCGGGAGAAGTCATTTGATGATTTTCCCCTAACAAAAAAAAAGGTAGGTGAAAATAAGATTCAAAATACAAACTGTGACTCCATGGTTTAAATCTAAACTTAAGATAAATATTGTTTTGTAATAAGGGGGATTATGTCAATATGTAAATTTTCAATTATTCCAATATTAACTAGACTGATTTGTTAGTTTGTTTTAACGACCATGATGGTACATCATCAATGATGACTTTTTAGGATGTTGATAGTTTTTTTTCGATTTGGTGCATAACTATGAAAAAATGACGTATTTTTATCTTGGTGTTGTTTTTAAATCGTTTTTTCAAATAATACGAATGATAGCAAAAAGTTTTTTTAATATTTATTTGGTTAACTATTTTAAAATATTGGACATGTAATTTAGTTTCTCTAAATCAAAAATCTTCGATATAATGTTTTGAAATATCGCTGTGACCACGGTTTAGCACATTCTGTTTTTTCATTGAATGTGGCATTTTCTAAATTTATTTAAAAAAAATCGCGTAATACCTAAATTTTGCGATTTATATTTAAAGCCCTTTTTATCTATGACACAATAAGAAATACGTGTTTAAATTTTTTTTCAATTAAATAAATAAAAAAAATATTTTTTCCAGTAGGTAAATTCGGTAAATAATTCTAAAACGAAACCATTAAAAAAATATTTTTATTACAATAAATTGTGCTAAAGCACGAAGTTGGCGTTGTTTTGTAAAAATAAAAACTAAAGAAATTCGGTCTAAAATTTTATTTTTAAATTTTAATAGAAATAAATGATTTCTATGTGACAATTATATTTTTGTTAATTGTTATCATCATATCATTGATATAAAAGACAGACATATTGTATTGTTCAATTTAAATTAATTATAAAAAGAAATTGTTTGTTCGCTCAATTTACAAGTAGTCAATCTGTTAAAGGCATGTTTCCTAATATCTGATTAAGGGC